TTAACATATACAACTTTTTTGTGAATTCTAATACTGCCACTATGAAATGGTTAATTAAAACTCTTTGGATGTGGTTTTTTTTAATAAACAAATTTAAAATGATTTCCAAAATAATGAAAGAATGTTCATTTTTTTTCTTTATTGAAATGAATTCAAAGTGTGAGTTTTTGATTGAGATAGAAAAAAAATTGCCGCCTTTTGTCATTGTTTTTATTAAAGACGCGATGTTAATCATATGCAAACAATCGTATGCCAATCTCATGTCTTTTGTTTGCAAATTTGTTGAATTCTTTTATCCATTGAATTGTTGCTGGCAATACTGCCGACTTAAAAGATAAGAAATGTTTATGGAAAATACAAACAAAAAAAAGAGAAATATGACTGTTTTTCTCTCGGTTTTTACCGTCATTTTTTATGACCGTCTTTTTTCGGCCTAGATACACATTTGCGAATTTGAAATAGACATAAGCAAACGTCAAAAATTTCCCAAGCCAAACATATCATTTCATCGATGTTTAATCATGTTCGAGTAGTTAATTCATTTGTTTTATTCTAATGTATAAAAGCGAGAGAAAAGACAAGCTGAAAGGAGTCAATTCAATACAATTTTCACATTTTAATTTTTCTATTCAATTCATATTCATTTTAAATCCGACGATTTCGAGAAAAAAATAACAGAAAGAAATGACGTGTATTTCAACAGTGTGAATCAACAAAACGAAAGTATGCAACATCAAAATTTGTATCAAGTGTCATTTTGTTATCTGTTAAAGCGTTATCAATTATCGCCGCTACCTTTGGAGTGTTGCAAGACTGAAAAATATATGCAATTCATTTGGTTCGGTGTGATATCGTTTGTCAGCGAATTTTTTTTTTACATCGAAAAGTATGGTTGCACTTTTACTTATTTGTTCAATGTTTCCATTTGATTTAACATCATTACAAGCGACGAGCATGAATTTATTCTAGATAAACAATAAATCATTGCTCTATCGAGTGTAAAATTGTAGTCATTCATTTGTCACTTTCTATGTTCAATGCTCGTATATTAAAGTTGATAACATATTTATCCAATGTAATAAAAAAAAAACAACTGTAATCAAAACATACAGTGAACACAATGATTCAATCCAGTAATTCTTTTGATAAGTTTCTAGTTCGAGTACCGGAAAGGTGTGGCATTGGGTCTTTTTTAAAACGACGCTAGAACTTTTTAGTATAAATAGCCGCCCAATAAATCTTGTTATGTAATTGCATTCCGTATGCGAATTGCATGCCAATTCATAACAACGAATAACCGTTGATATAATGCAATAGTTACGTCGAACCAAAGAATTTATACGCTTCATTTGTCTTTCTTTTTTTTCTTCTACAAAGATTGAGGTCAATTTATCATTTTCTTTTTTAGATTAAACCATTTACCAAAATGGTTATGATAATAATAAGACAGATTTAATACAGATCATTAGCTTTGTTTGTTTATTATATCACAGAATTTATCTTATTTGGCCATGAACTTCTTCATCTTTATCAAAGAGATTTTTACACAAATTTATAGAACCAGAATACAAGAATTGTCCAATTATCTTTTCAAAATTTACTTAAAAATATGCTTTATAAATACAAATGAATAGAATTCAAGATAAAATAACGCGATTTTTCTTACAACCTACTATTATCTGAAATAAATAGAAAGACAAAGATAGTGAAAAGGGGAGCTGCAAAGGAAAACATGGTAAAACATTTCATACAGATCATATGGTTGGGCATTCTTTTAGTCATGATACATGTCATCTAGCTGCATTAGATTTGTAGCACGGCCAACATAATTTATGTCCGTATTCTGGCAAAACACCATATTTGGAGGTGAACAATATAGATACATGAACAGAAATGTAGTTACTTTATAACGATACTTTACAGCGATGAATCTTGCGAATTTGTGAAAAGTCAGCATCTATAACGAAGGCGAAAAAAATATCTGTATTCTGTGTATGGACGATGTGGTTGTAGCAAATGCCATCTGACTGTAATTACAATCGATTTGTTGTTGTATTGTGAGAGCGAGATAGAGAATTTGCTAAGATCCGTTGATATTTGTTCTGTTTTTTTTTTGCTTCGAAAAGAATCGTCCATTTTACGCTGCTGGTAACGATCGTTTTAATTGATTTTCCCGGATGACAAAATGAAAACAAAAATAATTTTTCTCACACCCAATCTCGTTGTTAATACTCCTTCAATGTAATAAAGGATAGAGAGAGAGAGAAAACTGTATGCATGTATGTTTTTTTCTCTCGAATACGTCGAAGCTTTTAACATTGCTGTTATTATTTTCACGAATCAATGTTAAATAACAAGGACAGGTGTTTTGTCGTTTCAATAATTTTTTTTCGCTTTTCGGTCTCATTTGCATTTCGACTGATTTGGCAAGCGAATCGGTGTCCGCGTAGCGCTCGATTATTTTTCTTTCGAATTCGTTGTGCCTTACATTTAACATGCAAAGCACATGATCAAGAAGGAAACTCAAATGCAACGACTAATACAATTGACAATATGACGACATTCGCGTTTTTATTGTATCTGTGTTTTTTTTTTTTTTTTTTCAAATTATTTTTCTTTTCTTTTCAGAGTCGGGTGGTCCTTTTAAATTTCAATATTGTAGCGAGTGAGAGAGAAAGTATTTTTGTTGTAATGGTTTAGTAAAATTTATCATTTCGAATGAATGAGTGACGAGAACAAGAGAAAAAAACGGACATTATTCTGCACAAAGTATGACAGAGTTCTCACAGATGGCGAACACTAATCGTGCTGCCGATTTGAATAAAAGCCGTCTTTTCTTTACTTGAATTTATATCTTTTCATTGTGATCAACTCACTTTTGACAAATACGTATTGTGAACAACAACAACAACAAAAAAGGAAACGCCAAGAAAAAACGATACTCTTCATCCTCTATCCAAATGTAGTTGAAAGAGTTTTTCTTTATTCAATTTTGCTCTGTACAGCAACACATGCCATGTTACTCAACTTACATCATCATAATAATTCCTTTTGTGAACCAAATGGCTTGTGAAATATTTGATGAGTCAAAAGTCAACGTTCATGTTTCAGTGTTTGAAATATCCAATGAACAGTATCTATTCGGGATAAGATATTCTAATAGATTCAAACATGTATTTTTCGGAGCGTTAATTTTCCATATTCAAAAGTGAGTTTTTCCATTATGGTTTCATTTTTCATTCAAAACATTTCACATAATTGTTTTTCATGCGATTTCTATAATTGATTGTGCCGATGCAGCGTACGATGAATGGCCGGTAATCAACCATTTGGTTTTCCGGATAACATTCAACCGTATAAATGTCGATTAACAACGCTTGCGTACGTGTCGCATATTTTCAATGGGGTTGTATGGCAAAGTTGAATTTGGCCAATGGCAAGAAAAAAGCATAGTGACATCTAGCATGTACAGCAATTTAAATGGAAATGGTCCTCGGAGAATAACAATTTCAGTATAAAATTGAAATACCCAATCAACGGACAATGCCGGTTCATATGTCAAACAACATCGTTTATATGTATTTTACATTGGTCCCATTTGCAATATCCGATGATTCACACGGTTTTTGAAAAGGTGCGATCAAAAGCCAAAGGCCAAAGAGCATTCAATATGAACTCATTGACAAATTTGTGTCTGCTAAATGGACTTTGGTACGAGTATCGGTGTGTGGGCATGTGAATTCTTCTTTATCTTTTTGGAAAAAAAGGAAAAAAGAAGGACATTTTGATGTGTCACAACCAATATGTTCCAAATTCCAGATAAATAATTAAAAAAAAAAAACGATTTCGTGAAGAGTATTTTGAAAACAAAAATACACAACACTCGTGTGATGTGGAAGGGAATGTAGCGCATTGCATTTGTCTCACATTTGTTACAAACAGGCAAATGCGGTCATATAATTCGACAAAAACTAGAGTCTATTGGCGTAATTTCATTTTATTATCAATATTATTTCTTTTTCTTTACTTCGTTTTTTTTTTCCAATAAAATAAATGATACTTATAAAAGAGAACGCGATCCTTTTTTTATTCAAATTCTTCATCTCCTTTCATTTACTGCTTAATCTTTTTTCTCGGTGTTTTCTTACGTCATTTTTCATTTTTTTTAAATAAATTTGAAGTACATTGTGATTGATATTAATATATACTAAGCAAAAAAAACTTTCCTATAAAATTCAGTAATATTTTTCAAAAGTGTGTTTTTCTTTATAAATCATGTCATCTGATTTGCATTCTGTTTCCTCCTCTTTTTTTTCTTCTGTTGATGTACCAATCCCAAAATCATCCATTATCATCATACTGATATAAATATAGATATATGTCATATATCTAGGGAACCCTTAAATCATAAAAAAATCATTCATTGTTGCTTTGTACCGGCGTACACTCTCTGTATTCGCATCATTTTATGCATACATATTACATCATATATTTTTCTTCTTCTTTTTATTCATCATTTTCATATTCTCTGTTGCAAGGACACATACACATAGCATAGCATGTTCATGTTTTCTCTTCTTCTTCTTATTATTTGCACAGGGAAAAACAACCATTAATTGGCTATTTCGTCAAAATTCTCTGTGTTTTATGTGTGATACAGAAAGCCAAAGAGACAAAGAAGCGCTGATTTTGGCACAGTTTCACAATTCGGAATCTATTTGATGCTGATCTAATGTTATAGAAAACGAATATGTATTTAAAATATTTTTTTCTCATCCATGCTCATTTTTTAGTACTCTGTCTAATAGGGGACAGGAAAAAAAATGATTCGATAACGAGAAAAAAAAGCATCAAAACAGTCGTGGTCAACAACAAAAATGGAAGCGTCCAATGGATTCTGTTTGAAGGATGTGAGAAATAGTGCCTTGATTTTTGCGTATTTTTCTTTTATTTTTTAGAGAGAAAGAAAGACTGAGACATAGTGATGCATTTTCATTGAATTAATAAAAAAAATTATTGATTGAGAAAGCGCGTTTTAAATACAATTGTTTCTCATTTACCAGAGAATTTGTTTACATATTACAATATGCATTTTGATATTATGTACATTCACTTACGCCGTGAATTATTTCTGTCGAAATTTTGGTTTCGTCTCATTCCACCTCCAGTGCGTCGATTATTACCACCGCCGCCACCACCGCTATTATTATTTCCGCCACCTGAACCACGATTGTAGAATGCTGCATTTTCTCTGGGATTTTGCATAAGATTATAAGCTTCATTTAATGTCATATTTGGTGCGATACCTAAAAGTCCTGGTCGTATTACATCGCCGGGCATTGGAAATCCAAGCATTTGCGATGCACCCGGTTGACCTAAGAATCGTGGACCACCCAATGCATTGATCGCTTGCAATGCGGCCGCTTGTTGTTGTTGCTGTACATCATGTTGTTGTTTATTTCGCAAATAATCCATATCCATGGGTATTGACATTAAATCAACTAAACCTTGTTGTTGGCCGGCCGAATTTCGTGCAGCTGCCGACGCGGCTGTCATATTATTTCCACCTAAACTTGTTTGATCTAATTGAACAAATTCACCATCATCATTAATGAAAATGCCTAAATTTGTTAAAACACCTTGAAGTAATTGATTTTGATTAATAAAATTTAAATCAAAAATCTTATTTTCCGATTGATCCGCGTGGAATTTTTTCAATTCAGTTGATACAATGGCCAGCTGTTGATTGACCATGATTTTTTGCTTTGAACTACATTCATTGTACCAATTTGACTTTTGTAGAATGTTTTGAATATCCAAATGCACCGATCGTTGTGGTGGCTTATTTAATACTGATGCCGTTGTTGAATTCGTATTTGCTGTGCTTATATGTGCATTTGGTCGTCGCGGATCGGTTCGTTGTCGTCGCGGATCACCGCTTACTGTATCCATTTTGGTGGTTATTATCGTTGATAATTCGGGCTCATGTGGTGGTGAAAATGGTGACGCTTTTGTACTTAATGAAAAATTTGTCTCTGATTCGGAATAATTATCTTTTATTCGTAATATTCGTCGGAGACGTGGATCGAGCGTATTTTCATGAGCGTTGAAATTTTTACGCAATTCACTGTAGTCTGGCTTTGGAATATCCACCTCTTTTACCTATATTATAGACACATTATTTAAAACGATATAAAGAAAAGCGAAGAGAAAAAGAAAAATGTTAAGAAAATGTTAATGGTTAATTTATAATCCTGTTAACAGAAAATTTTCTATAAAAATAAATAAAAAATAAAATCAAAATAAATTCATTTTGAAACAAGTTCCTACAACCATTTCAAAAAATGACAAAAATAAATGAAAAGTTCCATTTACCTCGTATGTAATCGGTGCATGTGATGTGATTGAAGCATCGATTTCCGTAGCTGGTATGTAATTTACCATTGGTTTAAATGGTAATCGTAAATCAATATCACCATTTGAAAAGTCTTTCTCCAAGAAAATGGGAGGTATACGCATATCTTTATCTTTGCTCAGTGAAAATATATTTTTACTCCTTGAATCTTGTGAATCATCATCGTCACTCGGTGAACGAATTTTATCATCATTTGCTTCATCATCGTCCGAACTCACTTCATAAATACACTTTCGCACCAGTTTCGCTGATACTGGCGATGAAATTCGTGCATTTGTCTCTGATGGGCTGTCATAATCCACGGATGGTGATGGTTTCTCATCGAGGGCTTGCGGTGCTGGATGATTTGTTTCGGGTATTTGTCTAATTGGATAAATTCAAGACATTTTCATTAGCATTTTGCAATTTAAAAAAAATCACGTTTTGCATAATATAGTTGCTACTTCAAGAAAAAAAAAATGAAAAAAACCCTACCTTGAATAAAATGACGTTCCTGTTGATGACGACTGATTTGGTGAATCATTGCCTAAAGTGATTTTTTTTTTTTTTCAAAAACAGAATTTTTTTTAATAAAACTGAAAAATTGCGATAAATATAAAATGCTTACCATCAATTGGTTCTGAATGAAAACCACTGTCAACTTTTTTAATATAGCTATCAGTCTTTTGTACGCTGTCTTCTTTCTTTAACAATTGTGAAACAGATGAACTTAAATCAATTTTAATTGGGATACTTGTGGGGTACATCGATGATGATGCATAATATGGTGGCAAAATATTCTCGTTTTGACTTGCCGAATCTCCGCTCGGATCGGGGCTTGGTATTGAATTTCCGTCATTTTTAAGATCGCATTGCGAATCATAATATGTTGATGCTTGTGAGTTATATTCAGTAGCATCATCCTAATGTGTTTGATAATCAAATAAAAGTTGAGAAAATGATAGTTTTTGAAATAAAAAAAATTTATAACTTTCGTTCTTCATCTATAAAAACAAACTTACGTTAGCTCTTTGAATTCCAGATTCATCATTATCTGAATTCGGCTCTTCTGCGTGCATTGGATCGTCTTCTTCTTCGATTACTAATGGATTTCCCTCATCCTCATCACTATCATAGCCTTTCTTCTTACCTTTCGAAGGTTCACTTACTGTTAACGAGGCGAGAAAAAAGAATATTCAAAAATTGCTTCAACTGTTCAATTTTGTTTTAGTAAATCAAAATAAAACAAAGATTTTTTTTTCTTCACAAACCTAATTGATCTTCCAAGTCAGATTGATTCAAATCAATGTTGGCGTCTTTTAAATATTGTGAATAGTCGATAGTTTTTCTTGATGCGTTTGCCTGTTCATTTGTCTTTTCTGATTGAGTATTTTTGCTAAAACTATCCGATTTCGAACGATCTAATCCGGTTCGATGTGGAATTGCCAAAATACGCATATCGACATCTTGATTTGCTAATTCCAATTTATCATTTGTTCGTGTTGTATTCAATGCTATTCGCATATCTTGATCTTGACTCAATGTTTCATTTGAGCTGGGTGAAAATGGATTTTGAGGTTCTGATGGTGTTTTACTACTTTGTGAAGACTTTTGCTGCTGATTTTGTTGCGATTGTATCTGTTTAATTTGTTGCAACTGTTAATATGGCAGAAGAAGAGAAAAAGACGTAAAATGAATATTAAATCGCATTTAAAATTTGATTAAACGATTCTATTATCAAGAAATACTACAGCAATCCGTTCCATAAATAAATTTGTACGATATTTTTGCTGCATGTAGTCGATTTGATGATCAAAAATTAAAAAAAAGAAGAAAAAAATTCCATAAAATTCAATCGAAAAACTTACCTGAGATGCTTTCAATTGTAATTCCGATATAACTTTAATTTCCAGTCCCAACTCCATGACTTGAAGAATGGTCAATTGGGAAAGTTGGCTGACGGTCTCAATTCCCATTTTTGTCAATTTGTCTAATTGCTCAGCAGTAAGAATGTTGGTGAATGAGCTAAGTTTAATCTCATTTTCATTCGATGATTGATTTGATGCGGCATGTGTTGAATTATTTGAATTTTGTGATGAATGATTTGTGTTCGATTCATTGGATCGTTGGTCACACCATCGGCTCTTACGTGGTTTATCTTTTTTCATATTGCCCATGCCAAGTTCATTATTTGACGGCGGCTGATATTTATCCAAATTAATGTCAAGCAACGATGGCAGCTTAGACGTTTGCGATGCATTTGATGTATTTGTGGTGTTTGGTTCTGGTTCCATGCCAAATTTTACTAACAATTTTTGATGTTGTGCATTAATCATATTGATCGCATTTTCACGTGCAATACGTGGAAAATCGCCGAGAATTTCTTTCGGTGCTGTTTCCAGATGCTTCAATAACACGGCACGCAATTGATCGGTTAATGGTTTTCCATGTGAAAATTTACAATTTTCACGATTATGATTCTTCATTCCTAGATAATAAAATTTACACGGAAAATCGCCATGCATATACAAACATTTTTCACCTTTTGCACAGCACTCCATCAAATAAAATTTACATAATTCGGCTTTTCTCGGTTGATTATTGTTGTTTCGATTATTACCGCCACCTCCACCGCCGCCATTGCCGCCTGTATTATTACTATGGCCAATATTTTCATCATCAGAGTCATCGCCTCGTCGTCGTTTATGGTCACGTTTTGAATGTCCGCCGCGATGATTTCGACGGTCTCTGCGATCATTGGCACGGCGCTTAGCACGATTTCGTCGCCGTTGTTCACCTATATCACTTTCATACGATGAATAACTTCCATCTGAATCATAGTACATTAAATTTTGTTTTTGTGACCCTTGTGTGCCACCATGTTGTACTGGACTACCACCTCTCACATTCATCATTTCATACTCATCAAAATCTTCCGATTCATTTGAATGATAGGTACGTTCCGGTTCTTCATCAGTAAGCCGAGCCTTTTTACGTTGTAATTCTTTATCATTTTTACTATGCTTGCGCTTATGTTTACTCGATTTACTACTGCTGCTTTCGCCTTTTGTCTCTTTTTGTTGTTCTTTTGTGTCCTTTGGCTGCTCATCGTTTGCTTTCTTTGCATTTATTTTCACTGGTTTCGGCGCAATGCCATCCTTTTGTAATGCCTTTGCTAGCGCATTCTCTACATCACCCATCCAATCGTCTTTATCAAGAAACCAATCAACAATAAATAATTTATTAAGACGACATTAGTTGATAAGTCAATTCAATACGGAAAACAACAACAACTTGTCTCACATACACCGTATTGAAGATACAGATAAAAGAAACAATCGATTCGTATATATTTTATGAATATTATGAGAATAAAAACAACTTACCTTTTGCTATGGCATCGTTAGCTGATAGCTTCTTACTTTTAGCGGAACTATTATCTGGCGCCGACTTGCGACTATCATTTTTGCCCTTGACCTCGTTTGTCTTTTTTGAGTCATCGTCATTTTTTGGCTTTTTTACTGGCTCACTAGCCACTGGTTTAACTGGTTTCACTTCTTCATTCTCTTCATCAGTTTCAATTTCTCCATCTTCTAAATCTTCATCATCGAGCGTGCTCCGTGGATCAGAATCAAGTTCAGCCATTTTTATTCTTATTTAATTTTCGCTTAAAATATTTCTTCTTCTCTTCTATACACTTATATATCGTTCACGCTATAAAAAAAATGTAAGCAGAGAGAAATCACATCAGTTTCAATTGAATTATTGGCCATTCTCAAATGTTGAACGTAAATAGAAAAGAAATTAGTAAATAACATGAATCAACGTCAATGGTAGTTGATTATGCACTTAATATTGTATGCGCACATATTTATGGAGTCTCATTTTTCAAGCGTGTCTATAACGCTTCTATTTTGTCGCTTCGAATGGACGAAACAAACAAAACCTTTATAATATCGATTTGCATCTCTATTTGGAGATGTCAAACTGAGATTAAGAGATATTGAAAATATGAGAGAAAAATGGTAAGAGAAAAAAATGATTATGATGAGTTCAATTGGTGGGACCTCTCATGGATAAAAAAAACCCAGTATTTCGGAATTTTTCAGAAAAATAAAAGCGTGCTTTTTATCTATCTATTTGCATCATTTGCTGACATTTGACTTCTTCATATGAGCAGTATTGGGAAAGAAAACGCGATGAGAAAATAAGCACTTTTAGTTTTTAAGAAACAAACAAAAAAAATTCCATCAAAAGGTTGAATGTTTACTTTGACCGATGATCTAAATAAATATTTCTTTTAAGATGATCGCCATTAAGAGTGGTTACCATGAAAGAAAAAAAACACACACATCAATGGCAGAAAGGAAACAGCAAATAACAACAACAACCAACAAAAAATTCACAATTATAAAATCGTTGCAGGTCGACAACGTTCAGACGTAAGTAAAAGTTGTATGAAATGGTGGAAACATAATGTAAAACGTTAATCGAAAAATCCAACACATTATTGCTTTGCTGTTTCGTTTTCGCCGCAGCATACACACAGGCACAGAGACTGACTGGTAAATACATTCGTGCGGCATTTACACGCACACACACAATCGTACACTCTACGGTAATATCATTGTTTTGTTGCTTTCTACTATAATATTATAGTTATATGCTCGAGTGATTTATCTCTATTTCTCTCTCTCTCTCTCTTTCTCTCTTTACCCTGTCTCGCTGACAAATGATATGCGTCAGTCTGTCTTCTTTTAACTACATTAAGTGCGACATTTATGTTGAAATGCTATAACATTTTTCGTCTTTGGTTTCCTCAAAATTTATCGAAATTTTCTTATTACCTCAATTTGTCTTACAAATTTTTGGAGTTTATCGTTTTCATTATTCGTTTTGATGATGAAAATCTTACGCTTTTACAATTATTATTCGTTTGTTCGATTTCTTCGTATATTGAAATGTTTAACTATTTTAACCAAATGACAATATCAAAACGGTCAGTTGTTACTTCGATTTAAAAAAATATATATGTTCTGGTCTTACATTCGCCAACTTCAAAATGATATCTATATGTATATGCGGAGGTTGGAAAGTGTTTATTTAAGGTGTAAACCTATCTTGTCCTGTTCACATTCACTCTTCATTTAATCCAATGTTGAAATGAACATTGTATGACGAACATTTTGCGTACAACTAATGACCTGATCCTACCTATTTCGCACACAAATCGACAAAGACATACATACACTGTGTGTATCATACACACCAACATGGATGCTGGCACTAATGAGTCGCAGCAAGCGCACCAATACAACTTCAGTTATTTTTTGTGTGTGTATGTGTGAGAGAGTGTGTCTTTTGTGCCAATACAAATGGTCGAATGGAACGACAAAGTAACAATAAAATAATGTATATGTCACATTTGAAAACGTTGATTTCATTGAAATTTTAGCGAATGCGAAATAAAAAAAAATACATATATATGACGGAACAAATTAATCACACATACACTCACACTGTGCAAAATTTCGTAATTTCATGAAATAATACATTCTCTTTTTTTTGTTTCAAATAAAAGCTCAATGGGCGCATATATAATGAATTTGTGGCGTAGTGTCTGGTATTTCACGGCTAGTAGGATACTGCTTTTAAATTCGGTTGACATCATTTGACTGGTGTCAGTTGAAATTGCCATAAAAATGTCTTGCTTCTCATTTTCTCTTTCTAACACACAAGTTCACATAGCAAATTAATCACCAACGAAACATGGCAATTGATCACAAACATGTGCTGGCCATTCCGTTTGCACAATTGCTTGTTTAATATTTTTTGTTTCCCTTTTGTTTCTTGTCGTTTCGCTTTCTCTATCGATCAATTTAAATATTTCATACTTCTTTTACTACAAATGTAGAATTCGATACGCGACAATAATCAAAACATAATGAAAATGAAAAAAAAATAAACAATTCATTCAACACATGAAATGTTTCACGCTGCAAATGCATTTCATACGTCATCACTATAATCATATCTTGGTTGGTGGCGGCGGTGTTGGTGTTGAATTTATATTTTTGCATATATCTGTTGCATTCACGGGTCTATATCATAAATTATCTTAGTAATAAAATAAAACATGTTATAGCAGGATCAAGGGGATAACAAAAATGCACCATATTTTGTATATCGATCACATATAGAAACAAATCAAGGAAAAACAAAATTGATGCGGGTAAAAAAAATAAACCAGGCCGCTTAAAATGGTGAGAGCCCATGATGATTACGTCAAACAGAAATCTAGGCGAAAAACGTCACACTTTTCAAAACATTCCACTGTATAAAATCGTTAAAACCTTTCCATCCTTATGAAGACGAAACTATGAATGCCGATCGACAGTGAAATGACTGAATAATGAATTTTATTCCTCTTTTATACATACTCTATGCTTTTTTAGTTATGACAATGTCGAATTCATGAAATGCCTATTCTTCAAATATACATTATTTTTTCGCGTGGATTTTTAAAACATTTCGCCTTCTTCTCTATTAATTTGTGAAATTTCTCTTTTGCAAATTCACTTATTACTTCTACATTTTAACTACATAATTATAATCTAAAATTAACTTGGTGAACGTAAATTTCAATGTAATAATGCCGAATGTTGGTGACTGTTCCGATTTATATACATATGTATTACATCTGGATACAAACGGAAAATCGATTCGGGACAAAATAAATAAACAAATAACGAAAAAAATATGTTCGATTGAGTTTATGCAAAACGATAAACAAACAAAAAATCTTACAACTATAGATTCTTCAAAATGCAAAGTACGTAATTAAAAAAATCTCTATTTTTGAGCTCTGATGATTTTTTTGTTGAACAAAAAAAATCATTCGATATAATAATGGACGCGGACTACGAGACTTGACTATGGTTGCGTTATATTTGGAAATTCAATATGCACGAAATTGTAGTTTGTAGCTTGTTTTGCATGCTACCCGACTTTTTTTTTAAAATATTATTAAATTAGAAAAAAAAAAGATAATATTGATTTTTTGTGGCCATATTTTTTTTTTTTGCTATACATACTCTAGATTGGTACACAGACGAAAAATAGTAACACATTAGAAAGAGTCTAATTTTTTCTTTGTTTGTTTTAGCTCTTCAACTACCAATTTAACTCGGAAGAAAATTTGCTCAAAAATGCTTTTTCAATAAAATCTCAAGCTTGAAATGGTTCTACAATGATGGTGAATCTTAGACGATTTCGTTTTGTTTAGCCGTATTGTCGTTGTATCCATGTGTGAGTGTGCATATGTATTGTGAATATTTGTGAGAGAGTATGTGTAAGGTGATGCTATGAGTTAAGCCAAAGAGTGACGCCGTCGTACATACCACGAATGCTTACACAGATTTCTCGGTATGAATTCGTACAAAACACATATATATGTTGTTGTTGTTGACGAGAACAGTCAATAGTAGTCATACGCACACATGCATATAGTGAGTGAGTCACATACATTTGTTAAAACAGGCGGCACTAATACACGAATATTGGGATTTCCGTTTTTGTTTCGATTTCATCATCAAACGAAACGGCTTCGGTTTTTGGTCGGTTTCCATCTAAAATGAATTACTCTGTTTATTGTTCTGACTCGTTTCCATACATTTCGATGTATATGTATCGGTTAAAATTCACATGCATACATTGAATTTAAGCAGGTGCACGACCAATGACTAAATCATTTCAATTCAAAATATATCTATGAAGTTTTTGGGTGTGTTATTTGTATGTATGCGTGAAACAGACGTTAATTGTACAATTTTTACGCGCACGTTTTAAATATATATATTTTTCCTCACGCGAATGGACAAAATAACAATAACAATAGTAACGGCAATGATCGTCATATTATCGTAATTGACATATCCATAATTATCGCATATATTATCATTTCACGTATTTAAAAAAAAAAAAAAAAACAACAACAACAACAACAAGAACAAACGTAATTTCGAATAGCAAATAACACATAGGTCAAAATCGCGCGCGTGATACCACTCTCTTTAAAAAATATATATATGTAAAAATATGTTTAACGCACGATAAATGAAAAACGAAAATATCTTTTGAGACATTTATCTTTTCCCATTGCTTACTTATTACATTCATAGAGAATTGATTACAAACCATATACCATATATGTGTATAAATATGCACACTTAGCTATCCTTCGATTATTATTTTTTTTCGGTCATCAGAGAGATTATGAAATGTTGAGAAAAATGTTAATACAAAATTGTAGCTGCTTTTGCGTTGGATTAAGAATAGTTCGTTTTCGGTGTAAAAAAGGCAACTCTTTTAGATAAGCAATGGAATAAATGAATGTATATATACGCTTGTATTTGACTATCTCTCTCTCTTTCGCTCACGCGCAACAGCTACACCACAATGAATTCATATACTAGACGTGAAGTAAATGCGTATTAAGTTGTGTAGAAAAATTCAATATGGCCAACTACGCCTCGTATCATTTTTTTCTTGGCAACAGCAATATATTCATGTCGAACGACTTGAGTGTTTTTTTTCTGTCTCTATCTCTCTTTGTTGCGCTGGTAAGCATATGATTTGAATAGCGCTTTGTCTTTTTCTCTCTTTTCATAAGAGTTCCCTTATTACCCTTATGCTTTGTCTTTTTCGGACTTTTTTTTCTCTCTCGCAAAACAATTTTATCAAAGGATTTTCAAAAAAAGTAATAATAAAAATTATACGAATATATTTATGATGTTTAGATATTTTTTTTCTTTACCAATATCGCAAACGAATTATATTTGTACGAAAATTGCTTTTCGAAGACTGTTTTAATGTGTGCGTTTCTTTTTCTCTCTTGCTGCGTTCAATTTTAGTGCAAGTTTAATAAAAATAGACTACTATGTTGGCGATTTTAACTTTTTTTCTCGTTTTTTTAAATTGTTTAAAAAAATAAATACAAATCCATACATAATTTGGTTTCGTTTCTTACAATTTTCGATAAATATGTGTTTTTGTTTTGTTCTTTTATATTGAATTCAGATTTTGGACTTTAAAATAAAATTGCGTTGATTTATTGAAAAAAGAAAACTGTTTTGTGAACAACTGCATTTCGCTACGGATCAAACTGAAATAAATTTTCCCCTCTAATATACTCGTACTTTTTTTTTCTGTGTCGTTGCTTATTTTACAGTATATCGTTATGAGCATAGTCCATATGTAGGTTAAAAATGTTGAATCATTCCCGTGTATGAGAAATATAACGCGCGCGAGAGGCGCTGCAAATATACAAACACTTTCAATGTATTGAATACTATTTTTCAGGGCCACATTTTATATTTGTAATGAAACAACGTTTATTGAATCGTTCGTTCGCATCGCAGACGATAAGGCAGTCACTTTGGTCTATATATGTATGAAACAGGTCCCTGATTAAACGAAACGTTGTAGTTTTATAGAGATAGAGATGTGTGCGCATGTGAGTGTGTACAGTTGAATCCCATTTCGATCATATTGTTATTTTTGATGGTATGCGTGCCGTACGCTTGGTTTTGTGTGTAAATAATATTTTTCCATCCATGAATTTCAGCATCTTAAAATTATATATTTATATATAAATAAAAAATATAAATATTCATAAAATAGAATATAGCTTATATTAGATGCTCTAGTGACTGTTTTGAAGGAACTGTCGCCCGCCTTGAAAATGTCCGTTAAAAATTGAACATATCTGCATTAATTGCAATTTTTTGATTGCCAAGGATCTGTTCACCACCAGAAGCAATTGTGTTATTTAACACATCCGTTGGATGATATTAATTGAAATGTTTTATCGAAATTTTGATATTTCGGTTTTATCAATGTTAATAATTCCATTGCGACAATCTAGTACATATCCGTTTTTGTAGTAGAATTGCTCAATTCAAGAGATTGAACCAAAGCAACACAATAAAAAAAATATATGCAAATTTCATTTAAAATGTTGACATTTTACGTTGAAGAACTTTGGATAAACCATTCTTCCATGTAATTGTTTTTTTTTATCTTTTATTTTTTTCGTCATATCAGTACTGATAAAAATTATCTTAATTATGGTGAGATACAAATTACAACCATTTAATATGGAAAAACAAACAAACAAACAAAGACGCATTAACCAATAAATAAATTGTCAATAAATTTGTACATAAAATCCATTACGGATTTTTGGCTGGTGTGTATTATTTCTTTTCGCATAGAGTTTCCAACTTTAATCCTTACACACATGGGTAGTCATCTCAGATAATGGTTCCAGTTCCTTGGCCGATACCAAATCAAACTCTTGAACAAAATAGTAAAAATGCTTGTAACATGTGTTCACATGGGCTTCCTGCAAATAAAACCAATTTTAGATTAATATGATTTCAGAACATACATTTATCGCTTAATATTGATCAATTATATCGATGAATAAAATCGATGAAACAAAAATAAAATCAATTTACCGCTCCAATACTGACGATCCGATCAAAATGATGGATGTAAACGTGTACGAAGACTCGAAACAATCTCGTTAAAATTTTTCGGCAAAGATTTATGAATGTTTTTGGAAACGGCACATCTGTCGTAACGGGAAACACACTGAAGAAACAATTGTTTAAAAATGATTAGACGATTTAAATAACAAAAGAATGATAATTACTTTCTAGATAGATATAAAAAAGAGTTCGAATATTTTGAACTTCATTTTAAATAAAACATTTACCATTCATTGTTTATTTGGCTTTCGGTCCAATCCATTAGATATTCGATATATTTGGGTGCGGGTAAAGGTGTTGGTTTTTTAAAATTTTCACCATCAGCCCAAAGATACTCATAACGTGGACCACCACTCATTGTTGGGCATGTTGTTTCATTACAATATTCTGAGACCGTTCCATAGATAAGATTAATCCGATTGAAAAAGTCGACCACTGTTGAATAGAACCAACATGAATTTTTGACATTACTTTTGTCTTCTTCTGCATCATTTTCAATTTTTATAATTACAATTCAGGTATGCAAATTCATTTTATTTTTCGTCTTACCATGCACGGCAATCCAATCGTTTAAGTTTTCACCTTCTGGTAATTTGACTACTTGTCGTAAATTAATACCCGATTGTAGACTGGCCTGAGCTTGTTTATGTAGAGAGTATCGAATTGTTCCCTGAGTAAATCTCTTTTTCGGTCGAAATGTCTGTATGTACGAGAGAAAAAAAACAATGTTCATTTTATTATCGTGCATGGAAACTTATGTATTTTTTTCTTGTTAAAAAATTGAAACAAATAGAAAATAAAAAAATAACTTTGATATACATTATGTGAACGAAGATGTAGGCCAGGACCTACCTTTCCCTTTTGGAAAAATTCCAGAAATCCATTCAGTGCCATTGCAAACGATCTTTACAACTTATATGATTGATGGCAATTGTATTAGTTTTTTTAATCGTCGATCAACTAAAATAAATAAATTGTTTTTTAAATGATTTTAATTCAAAACAATAACACCTTCAATCCATACTACACACACCCACAATTTTTTTTGTTGTTGAAAAGATTGATTTTCAATCACTCGAACACATTACAATATTTATTTTATTGTGGTTGACGATGAATTTGAGATAAATGGCAACGAAACTGCGATTAAAATTAACGATTGCGATTAAAAAATTAAACAACAAAAAATGACCAAGTTTGGTTGTATCAAGTTAAACTCCTGCAATGATCGTCACTGAGAATGACGACTATGTTACTACTAGTAAACAATGGCAGTGGCAAATCATTCATATGCACAAACACAAACAAAACAATTTGATTTTGTTGTTGTTACTGAATGTAAATTGAGTACATACACACACACAAATTGAATGCCGTTTCAAACTTTCGCTAATTTTCAATTCAGTTGATTTCAAACAAAAGAATTGCCGAATTTATGTGGAAACCGCAAATTTTTATTTTGGTTTAATTTTTTTTGTTGCTTAATCGATTATTATTATTTTTAGAATTCTTAGTATATAGAACAATTCGTATGGGATTCTAACCATGGATGACACTACGCGTGAGCGGTCACGAATTTGACATTTTCTTCATCACACCAGACTGATACAACGATTAAGGCGCGAAAATTTGAATTTAAACTAATTCGAAGATACTATTCTTTGGACAGATTTTTATAAGTACTTGTATAATTTACTGAAATAACGTTATATTTTGTTCAATTACATTTATTTTGATGTATGATGTGTCATGTTATTTAAAAAAAAACCTACTACGAAGCATGTCTTATTGAACAATGAATTTTTATTCAACGTTTGAAATAAAATATAATTTTTACGAAATTGCATTTATGATTGTGAACGAAACAATCAGTGTATCGTCAAGGCTTTGCGATGCCAAACTTGAAGAATTATCAGCACGCATGGAACAAGATAATTTCAAAAATGCAAGCTATACGTTAAAAACGAATCTAAGACGAACCAGATTTATTGATGAGTAATTTATTATTATACGAATAAAAAATGTGTCTCTCCCTTATTAATTGAAAACGGTTTCATACAGATTTATCGGTGAATTTCCAACTTCATTTTCATATTGAATTTCAAGCAATGCTTTTGTATGTCCAAAGTCCTATTCAAATTTAAAATCAAAATCAACATCATATTTGGTGACTGCATGTGTGTGTTTGTGTCGAAACAATTTTTTATTTACCTGGATAATGTGTTCGGCCTGTTTGAGAATGTCTTCACATGATATGGTACGTTTACGTTTATCTAAACGTGATGTGAATTTTTCGGTGGAATCCGTTGAATTGAGATCAGGCGTAGTTTCAAGCAAGCAATGCACGATCACGATCGAATGTTATGGCATAAAATAGCAAATGACGTGATTCGATTGGGAACAGGAATGGGCAAACTGTTGCAATTTGCTGTAACCATTGTGGAAGATTTCCAGTGGCTTGAAGTTGGCGATTTGCTTTGGCCGTAATCTATGAAGAAAATCGATAAAATTATCAATTAGTAAGTCTGAACAAGAGATAGTTGTTGACTGATAATATTCTTACCTTATAGTGAATGAATTCAGATGCCGGAATGATATCTTCATGTGTAAAGTTGCCATTGTAAAGTGATTCCAAGCGTCGATTCAATGCATGCACAATACGAAACATGCACAAAGCATCCAAAAATGCATCTTGAACAGTTACTATATCTTTGGGCAGTAATTTCGTTATGAAACTTGAAATCGGTGAAACAACTTGTTGAATGCCATCGGTCCAATATTCAGACTTTTTGCGTGATGACTTTGATGACGATTTCTCTGAGTGTTTTCGAGACGATGACGAAGAGGACGATGATGCTCGCGTACTGATCGAGACAATTTTCACTAAATACCCCATAGTCTCATAGTATTTGACCCCAAATGGGGGGATCTTACTTTTTGTGAAAATTGTCTTGGAGGGCATTTGGAAAAAACATTTTCTAAAGGTTTTTTGGCATGCTGAAGCCGAATTTTTTGGTTTCAGATCAAAAAAATCAGGGGTTAAGGGGTTATGACCCCTGACCTCCCTAGGGGGTGGGGGGAGTTGGAGGGCAGCTGACCCAAAAAATTTCTCTCATCATTCTGAACAACTTTGTAGAACATAATTTTTTGATCCGATGATGAAATCGACATCAACAAAAAAAAATTGGAAAAAAATGAAGTAAACGATCATTTTTGCCCGTTTTTGTATGAAAATCGTATCAAAACGTTATTATATCGCAAAATAAACGTCAAAAATGGATTGCTCGTACCAAAAAACCCCCAAATACACATGTTCACCAATTTAGAATGAAAGAAATATACAGTTTAAAAGTCGCCCTTTTCATATTTGTACTGAAGATTTACCAAATTGAATAACTTTTTTTAAACAGACGTATATGGAACAAACCAAAGATGCAATTTTGCTAGTTTTCCCATCTACTACAACGCCCTATTCACGAAGTTCATGTCACAGAAGATCATTTTTTTTTTGTCGTACGGTGATAATCGATGGACAAGTTTTGCATACAGAGGACAACGTATGACGTACCACGTGGAAGCGACCCACAACAACCATACTCAAAACGGCCTGATTCGGGTTCTCTGACCTCAGAAACGTCCTGAAAACATGTTTTTGAGATATCGTAGATTTTGACCCATTGCAATACTTTCCCCTCACACACTAGGTGTGCGCGGAAAGAAAAACATAATATATATTGGGAACTAGGTTTATCTACATAATTTGTGATCCGATAAAATTATATTGAGATAAAATTTTGAGCCAATTGTTACTATATACATGTGTAAGTGTAGAGAGAGAGAGAGAGAGAGAGAGAGAGAGAGATAGAGAGAGAGAGAGAGAGAGGGGGGGAGTAGTACACACAGTCGTTCCGGTTTATAGTCGAGCTAAAGTGCTATTGTTTTTGTAAAACTTCATCGAAAGTACCTGTGAGCATGTAATGTGCATGAGAATTATGGTGGATTGTAAGACGTTGGTATTGCTGTTGCTGTTGTTGTTGTTGATGATGATGATGCAGGTGGTGATTATTATGGTGAGGCGGTAGCGAATAATCTTTAGAAGTTGACTCTACTACTCGATTTGTTTTGGGCAAGTATTTGGTTTTTTGTTTGTGTGTATGAAGTTTTGGATATTTTTTTTTGTTTCATATACATTTAAATAGTGGGGAGCGTGGATTTTCGTAAAAGACGTTAAACAAAAGGGAAACATGTACAAAATCGAAATTTCAGTCAGTAATGTTTTCTGAAAAAAAAAGATGAGAAATAATCAATTTGAACATACCCAATGAACCGAATACATGAGGTGGAATGCCTCTAGCCTCCAACAATGCTTGTAAACGTCCAACGTCTGGATCGTCTGCCGCTTCGGGATCCATGGCCGTTGGAGCTGAACTACCGAAAGCTGACTGGAAGTGAACCACTTAAATAAACAACTTTCGATCATAAACTCGTAACGCGATATTATTACGCTGTGCGAACAAAAAAAAATGCCAATGGCTGTGATTTTTCTTGTTTGATGTCCAAATCAGTTTCAACCTACACTTCGAAATTGTACAAAAACATTGTGAATGAGTAGACTTTCTGGCTCAACTGAAATATCCAAACAAAGAAAATAGTTGTTAAATTGATTCAAAAGTGTATGGCAAACATCTTTTTTACAATTTTCAATGTTTCATATTTTAGTTGTTCTAACGGTCCAATGGTTAGGTCCATTTCATTCTGCATTCGAACGTATTTCAATAACATTCTTTACTTTTAACATTTTAATTTAAGTTAAGCCAAAAGGTCTACTCGATCACCATGTTCTTGTACAATTTTGAAGTATAATTGCACTCATCATATTTTAATGATAGAAACTCTACTTACAAATGTAGCAGATTTAAATTTGATTTATAAGATTAATATTTTTGTAAAATTTACTTTAATCAGTTTTTCGTTATTTTTAAAACAATTCATAGAAATATTTTCAAATAAAAGTACATTCAAAAACTGTATTTCAGTGTTTTTTCGTGGTGAGTGTTATAATAATGCCCGTTTTTTTTAAATATTAAAGAAATAATTATGATTTTTTATTCAAAGCATAATTATTATGGATTATTTCGTGAATTAACGACGAACCGGGAAAATCAGCCATTATAATACCAATTGTTCTATTTGACGATTGAATGTTTTTGATGTAATCTCTTGTTAAAATATTGGTTCCTTCAAATGCAATTGTACAGATGTCCATAAAACAATTGACACGAGGAAAATCGGGATATATATGTGGCCATAATGAAGTCGTTAGTCCAGTTGCTAATCTCGATGCTGTAGTCCATCTCGAATTGTGGCCACTTGCGACAAAGTAAGGCAGGGAACCAACAGCACCTGAGAGATAATTTATGTAAAATTCAGATTTATTGCCATTTATTCGCGCTTTGTCCAAATGTGCACGAATTTTTTCCCACTTATTGTAAAGATCCCAGTTTGACGTAAAGATATAAGAATCTTGTATATTACAAATGCTGTAATTTATTCCATAATCATAAAAATCCAGATTATTATATAGAATGATGAATTTTCCTCTCGCTTCGCCCAGTTCAATATTTTCGGTTGTTTTCAAATAAGTTTGTTTATATTTCACTAAATATTCATTCAGTATTTCTCTGGCACTTCTATTATTATTATTATTCGGGTACAGTTCTTCTTTCAATCGAAAAAGCACGGTTTCTGATGAATGTTCGAGCAGAAAATTGTGCACACTTTCAAGAAAATCACCAAACATTTTTGACAGATAAGCTATGCCATGATATAGTGCGAATGTATCAGTAGTATGTCGGTATCTGATATCGAATACTCGTATTCCGTAGTTAAGCTGCTCGTTGAAATTTAATGTTTGTGTATCGATAATATCATTGTTCCATATAAAGCTAGCAGAATCGTGTGTGCCGGGAAGAGCCAATTCACTTAACATTACGTCATCTCGAATATCTTTCATCCAATCCATGTGTGTGACAAATGCATCTTTAGAGGATCGAAAATAAGCCGGATCATAGTGTGCCAGTATAAATGAAATACGAAATGATGTTAAAACAAGAAATTTCAACATAATATTCACAATTTTACACATCTATTTACAAAGAAAAATGCAAAATTTAAAGTTTTATTTAATACAACAATCTATGAAGTCCAGTTCTTATTACCTTATTTCGTTTCGAAACTTCGGAGAACCACCACTTTCCACAATTGCTCAATTTATAACTATTTAGTTTGGTGAACGTATCCAAAACTATATTTCACATCATATTGATAATGAAATAATCGTTTGGATTTTGGACAAATGTTGTTCAATATGTTTTATCTTATCAAAAAAGATTTATTTAAAAAAAAAATGAAACAATAGAATAAAACGCAACTACAAACGTCTGGTAATGTGCGTAAACAATAAACAAATCAACATTTTCCTCCTCGCTTGGGGAGGAGCTCCTTATTGCTCCTCCTCAGAACAATACCGGAAAATGATTGATTATGGACCTTGATGGCAGTGATAAATTGGCTAAATCCGTTTCTGCTAGTAATTTGGGCAGAAGGTTTAGCCAAAATGGACAGTAATATTCGACAAAAAAAAAAAGAAAACGAAAAAAGTAAAAAGTATGAATTTTGTTTTTAACGTCGCTAAAATAAATATGTTTGTATTGTGTGCGCCTAAATAAATAGATTTCTGCAGACAGTTTTGTGCCTGGACAGCCTGAGGCTTCTTGATTTGCGTCGCAATCAAATTTCAACTATTCCAGAAAAAATATTCGCGTTCCTAAACCATTTGAAGCACATTAATTTGACTTATAATAAAATTACACGCATTGAACCGCGCATGTATTTTATCATGCTCATGCAATGAAATCGCCAATTTTTTCAAATAATCTTTTGGAAATAATCCCAACCGAATGTTTCACCGGAGCTGAAAACTTGATGGAATTGTGTTTCGATTGGAATAATATTCGTAATATCGAAAATGGCTAATTTAATTTATCGAAATTAGAAATAATTTCGTTGAAAAGCAATCATTTAATTATATCATAATTTCGTTGAACACATTCGATATTTTTATGCATTTAATTCAATTCAAAAGTTTGAAAACAATCATTTTAAACCATAATCGATTCACACACTTGAATCATATTGCATTTTGAAACCATTCATCTGAAGTACAATGAACAAATAGAATTGAACTGGTTACGACAAGCACAATTTATATGCCAAAAACAAAAAAAATTAAACTTCTCACCGAACATCAGCTCAATCAATAAATTAAATACGTATATGTTGGGTGGAGTTGGAACTTATTCTTGATGAAATTAATTCCACACAAATATAATAATTTATAATATAAGTGTATTGAGTGTGTAGTTCTTGTGAACGAAGTAAGTTTGTTCAAGTTGTTATGACGTCTGAAATAAAAAGTCAACAAAATAATAAAAAAAAAATATCTTGGAACATTATAAACTCTTAAATAAATGTGTTGTTGACAAGAGTTTTGCGAAGAAAAAATATTCCTGAGCTTAATAGGGAAATATTTTAACGTCTCGAAAAGAATTGCATGGTTTACTTTATTTCATTTTTCGAATTGTATATAAACAAGTCTATGAGCTTATTTCGAGTACAGTTACTTACTAAAGTCTCAAACTGATTACCTCTTCTAATCAAGCTCCATAATTTAAAATAATGAAGACGTTTTTTGTATTCTTAACAATTATTTCAATTATTAATCAAGTAGGTGTTTATTTCTAAATTACATTAAATCCATCAAATCTATAAATACTATATATTCCAGTTAAATTTGGTTAATGGAGCTTCAGGTAGATCGGACTATGCAGCATACACAGCTTTATTAAAATCTTTCACATCAAAGGTGAAAAGTGTTGATAAATCTACTGATTGGAAGACGAAATTGCAACCATTTTTTGCCCTTCCAATGAAAGAGATCAATATGTTGAAAAAAAGTTTAATCTATACACAACAAGTGGAAGAAATAATCACCCAAAAGAATAAACCCAGAGTACAAAAGATGTGTCAGAATTTTAAAAGTAAAACTCAAATTTCAATTCTTTCCGATTTGATCAGCACAAATGCTGAATATCTCAATAACGATCAAGAAGTTATTAGTACACTTTATCGTGAGATTTATAAAAGAATTACAATCGAACCAAAAGCATCGGTAATCGATGGTTTTGTAGCAGCATTTTCTGCTTTTGATGAGAAAAAATCCATCAGTTCAGCGCATTTGAGCAAAATTAAAAATGAGTTGGATAATATGGATGAATTTTTAATTGATATAAAGGAAAAATTAATTCAGCAATCACAATTGATAATGGATACAAAATTGATGAAACAAATTAAAAAATTCGAAAAGAATTTGAACAGTTTTAAATTAATGAATCCTACAGATGGCCCATTGGGTATCATTGATGAATTGGTAAACATACAAGGCACAATAAAGAATTCCCTTCAATCAATTGAATCGCTTCTTATCGAATATGATATGCAACGCATTCGATGGGCGGAACTATTGATGGACGCAAAATTATGTGAGGCTGGTCAAGAGACAAGTATCGTTGCAAAACTTGGAAATTGGCTACGTTCACTTTCATTTAAGGGAATCATATAAAAATCCTACGAGAAATAAAAAAAGATTTTTTTTATTAAAACGAAACTTTGCAATTTAGTCTTGAATAAATTGAGAATGATCCATGGTCGTTAATAGAAAATATTAAGAAAAATTGTTTCATTTCAACCGTCGTGAATTTTCAGCTTTGACATTTTTTGAGAATACTTTCATAATTGGTGACGTAAAAAAAGGCAAACATATTGCACATGCCACGCTTGTAATTGGGTTGATATTGCGTGAACATTTTTAAAAACGATGTTTTTGGCAATTTCTATCAAAAGCCAAAACAGACTTTATAAGAGTTCCAAATGAAAACCAACTTTACAAGATATCCGTCTTTTTCATCATAAGAGTAACGTGTAAAAAAAACGGTACGTCTTTTTTATATGTGACGTTCAGTGTGCAATCATAAGTTTTGACATTTCATCCCGTTGAGGTTATGTTCGATTATGAATATTATTGTGAACATTGACATAATATTCTTGGCATATTATTTAGTAAATTCAATCGGTATTTTCGAAAAGAAAAACATAATAAAAAAACAATGAATAGACTTTTATTTAATCGAAGTGTTTTGAACACAAGTTTACCAATTCGAAATTATTCAGTGAAATCGTTGACAACACCATTGGCACCGCCGTTAAGAAATATTACGAAAGATCCATCGCAATTTGTATACAAACCAATTGTCTATCAATTATCTACAAATTGTTTGAAGCAATTTTATCGCAAAAATTCATCATACGCACCAATTAACATTGATACATCGAATTTGGCCAAAGATGTGATCATTTTCAAATACAATAATCCGAAATATTTCAAATTGATGAATTTTTTCGGCTTTATTCAGTTCTTCTTTTTCCTGATAGCCTCCGAGTTTATATTATCAACATTACGTCAGACACCGGTCAATGAAAAAGATCCCGATTTCGATGCAAAACCATTCTATTTAAAAGTAAATTTGGGTGAAAATAAGTACAAATATGGTATATCATTTGCCAGTTTTATCTTTGGTAAGATTGATTTGACGATGCTATCAATTTCAAATTTTTTTCATATTAAACTTTGTTAATGTCAACGAAAATATTGTTTCAGGCTTGACAATTCTGGGATTTGTATGGACGACCACAGTACGCAGTGTTCGGTTTTTGATTCTGAGAAAGGGCGGTTCCTACGTTAGTTTCGTTACATACGGCCCATTTGGAAAAAATCGCATAATGGATGTACCATTGAGATTTGTATCGGCTGTACAATCGAGAAATGTTGGCGCCAGTGCTCTTCCAATTAAAGTGAAAGGCAAAACATTTCATTATCTACTCGACAAACAAGGCCAATACACAAATCCAGAGATATTCGATCATGTGATTAATGTTAAACGACGCCTTTAAAACCAAAAACCGAAAACACACTCTGTATAACTATACACAAATAAAGTCTTATTTTATGTAATGAAAAAACAACACGATTACTTTATAAAATCCATTTTATTACAAAGCGGCTTTTTTGTAACTATCCAAATATGGGTGAACTTAAAATTAATGCATTTTCTATCGTTTTTTTTTTTGTTTATTTAGAAGACTGGTTTTGGTTTTTGTGTCAACAATAGGCCGAATCGTTTTTTGATTGTAATTCGTTGACGGGAATATTTGTCCTCTGGCGAAAATCGAGCTGTTAATTGAACATAAAAATTCAGCACACATTAGAATAAATACAAATAAATCAATTCAATCCAGGTGAACTTTTTGAAACACATACCTGGATGCGCTGAAATGGTTGGCGTACCGTCGTCAGTTTGTTTCTGCACAAATAGATAAATCCACATTAATGTTGAATAATACGATTATTTTGCGAAAATTTTCAAAATAACTTAGTTAAAGCAATATCGTGGTTCTCTATATAGCATTATCATACCACAAAACATAGCCTCTTTCATTTTTATATGTATGCATGTTTGGTTAATTTACATTTAGATCCTAACAAAAATTACCTTTAATGTATAGACACGGTCACCGTTTTCGTTTAAAGTGTACATCAAATACATTTTTGCTTTGGGTTTTTTCCTTCAAAATTTCCTCAGAATGGTCAAAAATGTAACAAGTTTCGATTTCACGTTTTGTGATGAGAACACACGTGTTTACAAATGATACTGTTTTGGTAGTGACAGGCAAATCAAATGTGTTTGCCTGTTCTAACAACCAATCAGCAGAGTGAAGTTGAAGCTGATGTTAACTGCCATCTAGCGCATTTAACGGCATTTAATGAACATTATTGCTTTTTATGATTTGTGTACTTCTTTTTAAAACTAATTAAATTTCTATTATTTTTATATTTCTCAAAATATATTTACAAAAATTCACTAAATGTGGCTCATAATTCATATTTGCAAAATATTATTGGATTTAAAAACAATAGAAAAAACGACATAATTTATAAAAAAAATGAATTGAACTGATTTTGTTATCATTTTGTAGTTCTTTTTTGTATTATTTCTAGTTTAAATATTTCCAAAAAAATGATTACAAAAAAATAAAACAATAATAGGCATACAAAAATGAGTACCGTAAAATGCACTTATTTCCAAATTGTTTTCCGAAACCATGATACATGTTTACCGATACTTAAGAAAGTATAGTCATTTTCATGGGATGCATCAGCGCCAAATAATTTTATGTTCGAAAATCGCTATGCAACGCAATTTTCTTATCGGCGCCAGAAAGTCTATATAAACATAGTAGTCAGTCTATCAGTCTGCATTTAGATGATATATTATTATTATGTGATTGGTTTAATAACATTAACTCATTTCTAATTAATCCATTGGAATAATAACGTTTTCTAACGATTGCAACTTTTTTTTAAATTTAAAAAAATGACTTGTAAGTTTTCCAAGTAATTTCATGTGTGTGAATCAGCAAGTAAACATAAAATCGTCAATGGGATTTCTATTGCGTATTAGATTTTAATTTTGATTTTTTGCTCTGATTTTAACTCGGGACTCTATTTAATTCTACAAAATTGTAAATAAATTCAAATTTAATTTAAATTATGAAAAAAATCCATTTGAAAAAAAAATCGAAAAAAATATATTTTTTAAATTTTTTATGAAATACAAAAAAAATATTAAGATTATATATCATCAGTTTCAGTTTCGAACAAAGAAAAAATAAATAAAAATTCGAATTAATAATAAAAATCCAGCAGCGCTATAATGTGTTGAACCACAATCAACATTCTCCATGAACATTTAACCACCCACCCCTTCGTCCATTACTGTTCATATGTAACGTTACATTTTTTTCACCTTAATAATACATTGGTAATTTGGTATAAATTTCAGCCCAAAAAGCAAACATGGAAATAAATTCACCGCCACAACATGGTATCGGGAATATGGAAATAGCTGACAGTCCTTATCCTCCATTAAATGATTATCCTGGTCGGCGCGATTATCAATCAGCAATGTCTTCGGAAGAGCCATATCCAACTGACGATCCAACGTATGTTAAAGGTTTCGAGTTCAGTGATGAATCCATTCGGCGAGGTTTCATTCGTAAAGTCTACAGTCTTCTATCCGTAAATAAATCTGATTAAATGCGCACAAATGACAAAAAATAATATTTCAAACAATTTCAGCTGCAATTGATTTTCTCATTTGGCATCGTATTGCTGTGCACCCAACATGATGGTGTGAAAAGTTTCATTCAAGGAAATCTGTGGATGTTTTTCATCGGATTTTTACTTCTATTAATCACGACAATAGTTATGCTTTGTTGTGAATCTGCTCTTCATAAACATCCGCATAATTTAATCTTTTTGTCATTTATGACTATTGGGGAAACAATTTGTATTAGTTGTATGTCAACAATTTACAACTCTGAAACGGTAACTTCAATTGACATGAATGGAAGCAATATCAAAAAAATTCATAATTAAACGTAATGATCTAAAATTTAAGGTATTGATAGCGTTGGGAATGACCTGTCTGTGCTGTCTTTCACTGACAATTTTTGCCATACAAACCAAAATTGATTTCACAAAATTGGGCGGCGCTTTATTTGTGGCACTTTTGATGCTTGTATTTGTTGGCATTATTGGTTCATTCATTCGAAGTCACCTGATGGAATTGATTCTCGCATGGATTTCTCTTATTCTATTTGCGATTTACTTGATACGTAAGTTAAGGAAAATCAGAGTTTCTGGAATCGGATTGGGATACATTCCGCCATCCAATTGTTTCACCTTTTATCCCTTGAGCATTTTTGTCAAAATTCAAAAGCTCCAGAAACTCCGACGCAAAATTAAAATGAAAAATAAGATATTTCTATATATAAAATTTTTGTAGATGACACACAAATGATTATTGGCGGTAAAGGAAAATATCAAATGGGTCCAGATGAATATATTCTTGGAACACTAAGCCTATATTTGGACATAATCAACATTTTTGTTGATTTATTGAAAATTATTTCATCACTAAAAAAATAAGTACCAAGTGTATTTTTTAATTATTGGTAATTCACTCAAATTTCACACAATTCACATAAATCTGATGGATATTTTATTTTCTATTGTCATTATTTTTCACTTGGAAAATGAAGACTGATGTCTGAAATCAAAGGACAACGCAAAGAGAAGATTATCACACATAAAAATCGGAATGTTTTTGTACTAGAGAACTGGATTTTTGCTGCAAGATGCTTGTCATTTTTTGAAAAAAAAAAAAAAAATCGACTCAATTTATGGATAGCAATGCGGAAAATTTGAAATATTTAAGCAAATATTGACCATCATGATTGATAACAATCATTATTAATACTCAAAAAATATATAAATATATGTGACTGTATACGTCACATATAGCGTATATTGACGATTCTTACTAAATATAAAATAAACATAGATGTTTTGAATTGAACATAAATAACATACGAAAACTGTAATTCTTTCAAAGTCAATGAATTTCAAGTGGGTTTCTTTTACTTATCGATTGAAATGTATAATCACAAATACGTTTTTTCCATTCAATAATTGCTTCTAAACGTTTTTTTTCTCTCGAGAAGGTCAATTGTTATTTCTTCATTGTATTTATCAATTATGATAAGAAAAGCCAAATTTAAATTCGAATTTTGGTTTGAAGTCAAATATATTTATTGAGACAATATTCAGATAACTTTTTTTATTTTTACACTATCATTTCTTCTTATAACCTAAGATTAGAGTATTAGCTAAATTTCTAAACCTATACATATTTTTATTCTAACATCACAATATGTAACACCGTTGATGTCGAGTGCCTCTATTGATTTTACAGAAGCTAAATCTTTACTATTTACAAACGTTATTGCTTATTCTACATCCAAATGCTTTTTAGAGCTGATACGCTTAGCTTTTCCACGGTCACTGTTTTTTCGGTGTCTTCAACATCAAAGATAAAATCAATATTTTCGAACGGTTCGGTTGGAAAAAAAAGTGCAGTGAATACCATTATACCATCGTCGGCAAATATTTCAATCGCCGATTTGTCCAAAATTATTTGTCCCGAAAGTCGATTACCCGTACTAATACGTTTGGCCGTTGGAATTCGAGTAATAAAATCTTCGCTAAATGTTACATTTCCAGAGTTCCGACGATCGAATACATAAGTGTCGCTGCTCACATTGTAATGAAATAAAACGAATTCGCCAAGATTATTGCTGAACTTTAAAGCGATGTCGCCCTTTAAAACATTTTCAATGTTTATATCATAATCCAATGTCAACATTGATCCAGTTTTGAATGTCATTTGTGATGTTAAATTGAGATTTTGGCTGCCAAACATGTAGTATGGTGTTGACAGTGACCATTGTCGGGACCGATCAATAATGCTGTTGAATTCATCAATTGGCCGCTGAACAAGATGAATGCGGCCATCAACATTTCGAAGAGTCACTTCTCGTGGAATTGTCATTTGACCAAGCCATGTTGATGTTGGTACATCTGATGCATAATTCCAATTTGCCATCCATCCAATAATGATCAATCGGCCAAGAGGATCGTTGTGATATGGTACTGCAGCAAAATTATCATGTCCATATTCAAGCCACAATTGTCTTGATTTATCATACGTATTATAATGTGTTCCATTGAATTTTCCGATAAAATATTGCATGGCACTGCCTTGTTTAGGTACATTTTCCGAAACAATTAGTATATCATGTTCGTTGCTTTGTTCATCTTTCAATGTAAATAGGGCTGGACATTCCCACACACCCTCTTTTTCACCTTCATCTGGATCAACACCAAAATCACTGACGAAATCCCATTTGATCAAATTATCGCTGCTATAAAATGTAACTCGATCGAAAACAGCTAAACTCATATAGAATTTTCCATATCGTTCGATAATATTTGGATCACGGAAATCATTTGAAACGCCCGGATTTGGAATGATTGGATTCCCGTCGTAATACGTCCATGTCAAACCTCGATCATGTGAATACGATAATCCTTGATCTTGTGAATTACTGGTGACATTATGAAGTGAGTATATGGCAATAAGTGGCTCTACATCTTTTCCCGGTAAATTCGAACCAAGACCAGTAACGTTGTTCTTGTCTTTGACACAGCATCCACTGAATATCATACCTTTTTCGTATGGATATATTGCAATCGGTAAATTCTCCCAGTGTATCAGATCGATTGATCTTGCGTGTCCCCAGTGGCAGTTGGTGTTTGTCATCGCATCAGGATCATACTGGAAGTATAGATGATAATATCCATCCTCAAATATTAATCCATTCGGATCATTCATAAAGCCCGATGGTACGGAATAATGAACTTGAAGACGATGCTTTTCGTGATAATTTAACCCATTAATAGGTAACAGGAAAATCATACAACCGATAAACAATGAAATGGCTGTCTTTGACATGTTGATCAATTTAAATTGAATACGTTTTCGAAATATTAAATCACAATGCGAAGTTAACTGTTTGTATAGATCGAATCAAATGCTTGTCCAAATTGAAATGAAAACCGCTTTATATATGCATCATAATATAATGCATATCGAATAAAAAAAAATCCCTTATCAATAATATATTATCCAAAAAAAAAAACAATTGATGTTTGCGATTATAAATAATTTATTACACTTAGAATCATTAGATGTCTTTTTATTGTTTTTCAAATATATTAATTATTAGTTTATCAAACGTTTGTCAAGGGTACTCAATATTTTAATAAATAAACAACTTGTCATAATTTGCGTCATTGTCAAAAATATTGGTACTCGCTCTTCGATATATATACCTTTTTTTATTCGTGGTGGTACTTCTTAAAATCGTGATACAATCAAACACTCGAAATTGTTTAATACCTGTCAATCAAATGAATGGCACTTGATGGCTGCCTCTATCATTTTGGGGGTACGACAAAAAATATTAATATCTAATCTTGAACTGACCTAGTTGGTGATTATTTCAGTTGTAGCATTTTATTAGTTGTATTACGGTTCAAAGAGCTGGAAGGGCGTGTCATTAACATTTTTTGCCCCTCAATTAATGAAATCGATGACTGAGTTTGAGAAGAGGGAGAGAGAAAGAGACGTTTAAATGACATCGCACTCGAAAACCAATTTTGGAATGTATTATTTATTTTGGTTCTTGAAATGAAAATAATACAATTAGCAAAATATTATGGTTTGTTATTTACAAGTTACTAAATTTTTATTGCTATTTGCAAAACATCAATGAAAATTTGTCAATCGTAAACATAGCTTCTGTGAATGGCAACCCAAGTGGAGGGTTATTTCAAAATTGTGATAATTTTCTCTCAACTATTAACATTTTATACAATGGGTAACATCAAATTCATTCTCCAAGATCGGCTCAATCCGATCCCTTCTATTTCTAGTCAGAAGATAGAATCGTGACATATGGTGAGTCTCCTTTTATCCTACAAAATATTTTAATTACATATATACTTACAGTGCTATTGATTTGTATCCAAAAAAAGTTGCGAAATTGCGTTTTCATTGTTGAAATATATTTATTTGTTTTCAAAACAGCCTGCGATGAAATGCATCAAGGCCTCTAATAAATAAAAATTAATACTTAATTCGAAGTGGACTCACCGCAGTGGACTCTTACAGTATGAGTGAGTTGAAAAAAAAATGATTTTTTTGTGACTTTTATACCGGCCGCGGCTAATAATTTTATATTTGAATATTTAAAAATTATACACTAAACATGAGTTTTTATCAACCGGCTAAGCCTATGAAGAGACAAAATGCGAATTCCCCTCATCTGTGCCATCTTGTATTCCATAGTTGAACTCAATTTAGTTACAATGAATTGAATCGAAAAAGAGAAAAAAAACAACAACAGTAACATGGCTACATAGATCTGTTGACCAGTGAGATACGTATAGCAATGGAATGAAAGAATGAAGAAAGCGTATATGTGTATGTATGCATCAGCACGCATAGATGTACAGCTCTGTGTGGCCGTGCTATTGTTGTTGTTTTTTCACTTTTTCATTTCAATGCTACAGAATTAAATTCAGTTTTTGCATCTAATTCACACTAAAATCAGATGGCGCTCATTAGCGAGATTCGCAAAAAAAAGTCTCCAATCTCATACAAATATACACCGGCTGGTTTTTATAAAGTTTTACAACTAAAAAAAAGCCAACAATTTTTACTTTGAATTATTTCAATAATTTATACATATAGATAAATTGTTATTCCCACTTAGAAACTGAATTCTTGGTGAGAAACGTTGGAGACTTCAAAGCCCCGTTTAAACTAAAATCTTTGGACCATTTGTTTTCTCAAAGAAATTACGACGCACCCCTTCCCGTTTCAATACATATCAAGAATACTGCTTTACGAGACCAACAATGTAATCACTGTGATTAATCCAAATGACTATCATATCTTTGTTTTCGACTTTCTCAGAGGTAATTTGATTTATATGATATGGCGGTCTTTAAAAAAATAACTTGTACGTAGTCTTCCTTATCATTAGCATTGAACTATATTTTTTTTTTTTTTTTCGTATTTTGATTTTTATCTATTAATTACAACAAAAAATTCAACGACGAAAACAATTAAATACAGTATTTAACATTATATTATTTTTTTACTTTTATTATTATATAAAACAATAACTGAGTCTCTCCATTTGCCGCTATGCATAATTCCTCCACCGAAAAATGTCAATGTTCATGTTGCATGCATTGTATGGTTGAGTTTCAAAGCGATTGCATGATTATTTTCGATTGATAAAATAAAAGCTTGATTTTCTTTGCTGCTGATCTCTTGATTTATTCAATTGTAAGTATTTATTCAAAACATGCACATTCTTCATTGTGTCAAAACTGAATGCCGGAACATTTTCCAAAAATATGCGATCAGGTCAAAATATATCAACGATGCAGTACGTTGCATTATACGAGAATTTCAAGTGTTTTTTTTTATGTAATCATAACAAATATTATTGTTATTATCGAAGAAAGTAATTTGCTGAAAGTCAATTGAATCATTCAATTTCAAGTGTATTCTTTGAAGTCAAAGCGAACAACATAATTGATAATTGATAACTGATTGAATTGATAAAATTATATAATAAGAATGGCCTCTCGAAAAGACATCTACGCCTCTTCCTCAGCCTATGTAAAATCAACTTTTATTTCATCATAAATTTAAAACCGAACATCTTATCAACAAACTACGCAAAATAGATAATAATATCAATACAAAATCGAATACTTGATTTTATACGGAAGTAACGGACAAAAATATTTCAACGATCAATTAGATATTTACGCCAATTCATTTATTGTTATTATTATTATCATAATTTAGAACATTTTATTACGACACTATTCAAATATCTTGTTTTTTCTATTAAAACTTAAATCATCCCATTTGGGTTTACGACGAAGAATTATTTTTTAGTATACTAGTAGTTTTCTTTAGTATAAGGTTATAATACATTATCATATCATATTTTGAACATTACAGAAACCTAATCTACTATCCTATTGTTAATTAAATCCAAATGCTGTTTAGAGCTGATACGCTTAGTTTTCCCACGGTCATTGTTTTTTCGGTGTCTTCAGCATCAAAGATCAATTCAATATTTTCGAACGGTTCGGTTGGGAAAAATAGTGCAGTAAATACATTCAAACCATCGTCGGCAAATATTTCAATCGCTGAAGTGTCCAAAACAATGTGTCCCCAAAGTCGATTGTCCGTATTAATTCGTTTGGCCTTTGAAATTCGATTGGCAAAATTTGGGCTAAATGTAACATTTCCAGAGTTCTGACGATCAAATACATAACCGTCGCTGCTCCCATTGTAACGGAATAGAACGAATTCGCCAAGATTATTGCTGAATTTCAAGCCAATCTCGCCATTTTCAATATTTTCAATGTTTATATCATAATCCAGTGTAAACATTGATCCAGTTTTGAATGTCATTTGTGATGTTAAATTGATGCTTTGATTGCCGAACATATAGTACGGTGTTGACAGTGACCATTGCCGTGACCGATCAATGAGACTGTAAAATTCATCAACTGGATGTTGAATAAGGTAAAGATTGCCATCAACAGTTTTCAGTCCTAGTTCACGTGGAATTGTCAATTGACCCCGCCACGTTGATGTTGGTGTCGTTTGTGCATATTTCCAATTTGACATCCATCCAATTAAAATGGCATTCCGACCAAGAGGATCGTTGTGATATGGTACTGCAGCATAATTGTCCTGGCCATTTTCAAGCCACAATTGTCTTGATTGATTGTACGTATTGAATTGTGTTCCATTAAATTGTCCGATAAAATATTGAGTTACACCGCCAATTTTTGGTGTACCACCATATATATACTCGGAAACAATTAGTACATCATGTTCGTTGTTTTGTTCATCTTTCAATGTAAATAGGGCTGGACATTCCCATATACCATTTTTGTCGCCTTCCCCAAAATCACTGAAGTGTTCCCATTTTATCAAATTTTCACTAACATAAAATGAAACCCGATCGAAAACAGCCAGAATCATATAGAATTTTCCGTATCGTTTAAAAATGTTTGGATCACGAAAATGTTCTAGGCCTGGATTTGGAATGATTGGATTGTCATCATAATATGTCCACGTCAAACCTTGATCAAGTGAATACGATAATCCTTGAGTTTGTGAATCGGTTGTGACGTTATGAAGTGAGTATATGGCAATGAGTGGCTCTTCAGCTTGTCCGGGTAAATGCGAACCGAATCCGGTAACATTGTTCTCATCTAAAACGCAACATCCACTGTATATCGTTCCTTTTTCGTATGGATATATTGCAATCGGTAAATTCTCCCAGTGTATCAGATCGGTTGATTTTGCGTGTCCCCAATGCGGCCTCAAATCTTCTGCCATGGAATTGGGATCATACTGGAAGTATAGATTATAATATCCGTCAGCGTAGATTAATCCATTTGGATCGTTCATCCAGCCCGATGGTACGGAATAATGAAGCTGAAGGCGGTATTTTTCGGTATAATTTTGTCCATTGATTGGCAGCAGGAAAATAGAACAAATGATTAACGAGGTGATGATAATGCTTGTCATTTTGAAGATTAAAAAATTAAAATTCAAACTTCAACTCAAAATCAACTGTTTGTGTAGATCGAATGAAATGATTTTTCAAATTTGAAATGAGGATCGCTTTATATATGCATAATCATCACAATGCAGTTCAAGTAGAAAAGTCTGTTATCATTAACAATGTATGTTAGGAATGTATTCTGATGTTACGATTATAAATAATAAGTATAGCCTTGGGTGAGTGGCGTTCAGACAATATATTGAACTAACTGGTCAACTGAGCTGACAGTACGTTCTATTGTTTTAGTAGAAGTGATTGATCATTATAACAATAACTTCTATTGTTTTGACCCATTTAGCTGGCTAACGTACTGTCATATCAGTTCACCTAACTGTACAATATATTGTCTGGTTGCGTTTAATCAATGAGTTGCAGAATGATATTTTTTGGTGCTTCAAATGAAAAAAAATCTTCAGCAAAATTGAATGGTTTGACTAGACTGTCAAGGACGGTGAATCAAAACCTCATTTAATCACCTGATTTCATAGTATATTGATAAACAAAATTGTTATGATTTGTAGTAATTTCTTCACATTTAAATCTTTAATTCTTCATGATAACAATCAGAAGACTCTTACAATTTGATGAAATGAATCAATCACTTTCAAGTGTCTCTTTTAACTCAAAAGAAAAGATGCACATTTTTTGTTATGTTAAAAACTCATTGTAATTATTATGATGACGAAATTTTATTTATATATTGCAATAGACAAATTTGTTGAATACACTGGAGTTTGCCCTTTTTTATCTGTGAAATTTTTTGTTGTAAATTCCATAATCGAGCCTCTATTAATTTCACAGAAGATAAATCTTTATTATCTACTAATTTTATTGCTTGTTACGTCCAAATGCTGTTTAGAGCTGATACGCTTAGTTTTTCCACGGTCACTGTTTTTTCGGTGTCTTCAGAACTAAAGATTAGTTCAACATTTTCGAACGGCTCGGTTGGGAAAAAAAGTGCAGTGAATACCAGTATACCATCGTCAGCAAAGATTTCAATCGCTGAAGTGTCCAAAACAATGTGTCCCCAAAGCCGATTGCCCGTATTAATTCTTTTGGCTTTCGGAATTCGATTAATAAATTCTGGATTAAATGTAACATTTCCAGAGTTCTGACGATCGAATACATAAGTGTCGCTGCTCACATTGTAATGAAATAAAACGGATTCGCCATGATTATTGCTGAACTTTAAAGCGATATCGCCGTTTAATACATTTTCAATGTTTATATCATAATCCAATGTAAACATTGGTCCGGTACTGAATGTCATTTGTGATGTTAAATTGATGTATTCATTGCTGAAGATGTAGTACGGTGTTGACAGTGACCATTGTCGGGACCGATCAACGAGGCTGTAAAATTCATCAACTGGATGTTGAATAAGGTAAAGATTTCCATCAATAGTTTTAAGTCCTAATTGACGTGGAATTGTCAATTGACCACGCCATGTTGATGTTGGTATATCTTCTGCATAATTCCAATTACTCATATATCCAATTATAATCAATCGGCCGAAAGGATCGTTGTGATATGGTACTGCAGCAAAATTGTCAAAACCATATTCGAGCCATAAAACTCTTGATTTATCATACGTATTGTAATGTGTTTCATTAAATAGTCCGATAAAATATTGCATGGCACTGCCTCGTTTGGGTATATTTTCTGAAACAATTAGTATATCATGTTCGTTGTTTTGTTCATCTTTCAATGTAAATAGGGCCGGACATTCCCACACACCATCTCTGTCACCTTCCTCTGGATCCATACCAAATTGACTGATGTAATCCCATTTGATCAAATTATCGCTGCTATAAAATGATATTTGCTCAAACACCGACAAAACCATATAGAATTTTCCATATCGTTCTATAATATTTGGATCACGAAAATCATTTGAAATTCCTGGATTTGGAATGATTGGATTGTCGTCGTAATACTTCCATGTCAAACCTCGATCATGTGAATACGATAATCCTTGATCTTGTGAATTACTGGTGGCATTATGAAGTGAGTATATAGCGATGAGTGGCTGTTCAGTTTGTCCCGGTAAATGTGAACCAAAACCAGTAACGTTGTTCTTATCAATGACGCAACATCCACTGAATATCATACCTTTTTCGTATGGGTATATTGCAATCGGTAAATTCTCCCAGTGTATCAGATCGATTGATCTTGCGTGTCCCCAATAGATCATACCGAATGTCGTCTCAGCTGGATTGTATTGAAAAAATAGGTGATAATATCCATCAGCATAGATTAATCCATTTGGATCATTCATCCAGGCTGATTGTATGGAATAATGAACCTGAAGGCGATACTTTTCAGTATAGTTCTGTCCATTGATGGATAACAGAAAAATAGAACAGAATAATAATGAGCAGATTATCTTTGACATTATTTTTTTATAAATGGAATACGTGTTAAATAAATCAGTCAAAATCACAAAGCGAAGTTAACTGTTAACAAATTAAAATGCGACTCGCTTTAAATGTTCCTCATAGTACATATCAAATGAAATATTCTCTTATCAATGATATATTTTGAAACCTGATGTTTGCGATTATAAATAATTGATCACACTTGGATGTTTTATTGATTTTTTTTTTATATTTTTTTAATAATTATTAGTTTATCAAAAATTGAGAGGGGTACTTAATAAACAGCTTGCTACAATTTACGTCCTTAATACATACTCTTAGCAAACACAGGTGTCAAAATGAATCATATTATCAAGTGATAAACTTTAGAGAGCAAGCAAAAAATTTGTAATTCCAACAACAGCTCATCTCTGAATTATATCAATAGTTTGATTCATTTCTATAATAGTGTATAAATGGCAAAATGCTATTTAAGTGTATATATGTTTTTTATCGGTAGTGATACTTCTTCTTCAAATTCAAATATCCATCATGAAGTCAAACACTCGAGCTTGTCAATCAAATGAATGGAATTCGATGCTTGACTTTGTCTCGCACTGACCTAGTTGGTGACAATTGTTATACTCTTTAAATTTGACTGTCAATTGTAAACCGTGAAATATTTTCTTTTGATCATGTAAACTATTTCAACTAATCTTTCAAAATACTTACGCTGATATTGATGTCTAAAAAGCATTTACATTTTATTTTGGAATTATATTTTGGACAAAAATTATAAATTTTATTAATTAGTTTGATAAACGAAATTTTTAGTTTGAATGTTATCAATAAAAATGTTCAAGTAAAATCACAAATCGAAATAGTTACACCCCTCAATCGAATAACTTAAAATGTATCATCGCCATCTTCATCGCATGAAATTCTCGAATCTTCTATATTAATAGTCATTGTATATATGGGGTAGAATAAAAACTTCTTCTCGAACAATAGGAATTTGAAAACGAAACCTGAAAAAAATTTCAATAAAAAGTGAACCAATTTTTTTTGTCCAATTGAAGTGAACCAAATTTTTTTTGTTTAATAAAAGTGAACAAAAAAAAACATTTTTCGAGAAGTAGTTTTTATTCTACCCCATTCAAATGTAGAAAAATTCAAAATATCTCTTGAGAAAAAGTCACAATATTGTTTTTGCCAACATATAAAAAAGTGTTAAGAGCTTGATTAAATGAAAATACGGTTTGAACTTTTTTCACAACAAACAAAATATGCTACAACTAAATCTTAAAACATATAAATATTTTAAAAGTGTTTGCTGATGAATAAATATTGTACAACTTTAAGTTTATCTTCTCATTTTTCTCATTTTTTTCAATCAAAGTTTTCCTGAATGAGTTTCAGTAATTTCAGTATCAATATTTTAACCGAAAATGCTCTAAGGCCAAGAAAAGATAATTTATGATCACAAAGTGTCATGAAGGAAACTTAATGATCTTAAGTATATCATGCATTGCTCTACTTAATCTCACAGTATTTGTGAATATATACATCAATATGCGCAATTGAATTGGTGTGAATAAAATATTGTATATTGACAACCATACCATCGAAGTAAATAAACAAAAACAGCTGTAGATTATTGTTTTGTTTATAACATATTTGTTTACATGCTAAATCGAATGATCATGTGCGACACTTTTGAGAAACGTCGATGAAAAAAATAGTTTTCTAACATTTTTGGTGGAAGTATATGCAAAAAAAATAGTTTTAAATATTTTTACCGATTTTGATTATTTGATAGTGTTTTTTAAAATAAATGTCTCTCGATCTGGCTATGCAACTGTTTCGAAGTATTTTTTTTTTACTGAGTACTGCTGATGAAATGCATGTCTTAATATTGACATTTCTTGTGTCAAACTAATTTTAGTTACCATTGGGTAAGTTGAAAGAGTTGCGTAAACAGTTTTTGTTCTATAAAAGTGATAAAGTTTCGATGTCTTCTATTGGAAAAGGAGATGATGATCTATCCACAAAAATACAATGCGATTCTCAAACGCCATTTAAGTATACGAATCCTTATTGCCATCGACCGAATGAATATCGACCGGAGACGATAACTCCAGCACAAAATTTACTTGCCGATCATACAGTTCTTTTGGTAAATACTTACAAAGAATGTAGAGAGGCAGTAATAGAACTGAATTCGTAGGTTATTATCTTGGGTTTTACGTTGAAGCTTTGATTGAATGTTAAATATCTTTGATTCGGTTATATTTTAGACAATTAAAAGAATATGATGTACTTGGCATTGATGCTGAATGGAAAATCACTTGGAGGAAAAAAAGCGGACGTAAGCCGGTCGCACTACTTCAATTGGCATCTCAATATGGACTTTGCATACTCATTCGTTTGTGTATTATCGAAAGGATCCCTGCAGAGCTCGATGTAACTATACATAGTTGGCATAACACACGTTCCAAAATATATGCGCTATTTAATGTTACTTTGCATTAGGAAATTCTTGCCAATCCAAAGATATTAAAAGTTGGCATTGAATCCAGATCGGATGGGGTTTTTTTGAACAAAGACTATCAAATGCGCGTTTGGAGTACACTTGATTTACGATATATGGCTGCAATGTGCGGCTTAAGACCCGGCGGACTTGCTGCAATGGCCAAGGATCATCTATTCTATGAACTTTCGAAAAATAAGAGGGTACAATGCTCCAATTGGGAACTTGAAATTTTAAGTCAGAGGCAAATAGAATATGCCGCACTCGATGCAATCATCGGATACAAATTATTTCTTTATTACTCAAGTTTTCAACATTGCATCACGTATTATACCATTTCTTGCTTTTATGATAAGCATTTCAGTCATCCAAAGGGCATGATAATGTATGAAAAAAGCCTAAGCGATCAAAAAACTGAACAAAAACAAAATGAATAATATAAGAGACTTTTATAAATTACTGAATGTGTTCGAATATATTTTTATATATTTTTTATCATAAAAAACATTACTTTTTCTTACAATTTGTTGCATTTCATTGAAATCGATTTATTAAAGTTTATTTGATTACGATTATTAAGTTGTACGAATGATACTTCACATTCTTAAGTACAGTCTACGTAATATCCATTGACTGTGTGAATGTATGCGCCGGCTTTTGTGAATATCTCCTTTTATAATATCTGAATTAAAATTGGTTTCGTACGTAAACAAAGTCAGATGTAGTTGGTGCTTTTTTTATCTTTGTTTACATGTCAATTGGTTCACATTATCAATAACTTGTTGCTTTGACATTTCTTTGTTGCTCTGCGTATTTTTTTATATCAAATCAAATTCAGGTGCCTCAATCAAGGAATTTGCGCATTATTTCATTTAAAAATATAAGTCGTCGAAGTAAAAAAAAATGACACTGCATCCACAGTGGGAGCTGCTGTTGCGATTGGTGCTAGAGATGGTGCGGCATATGGCTGTTACAAATTATATGAATCATTTTTTGCTAATCCGCATCAAAATCAACCGATATTGGCAAATGCAAATCAAGGGGAAGAAAAACCACAATCGATTCCATTTCGAATCATTTCTCCGCGTTCATTTCCAAGAAATTCTCAAATCTATGTGGTCAACAATATTGAAGAATGCCGATATGCAATTAGAGAGCTCAAATCGTACGTTAGAATTTTTTAGTATTTTTTAAAAATGACGATTTTTCAAAATATTTGATTCTTTTTGTTTTTAATAAAACAATGCAGGCATTGTGAAGAATATAAAGTGCTTGGTTTTGATTGCGAATGGGTGACAATGCAAGGATTTGGTCATCAAAAAGTCGCATTAAAATCGGTTCAACGAACATTTGATACGCTTCAAATCAATCAAACAATTTATGTGTATATGTCGACATATGATTGCTTCTAAATTCAAATGTGTTTCGGCACCCAAAAAATCTATTTCTTTTAATTTGCGACAGCAGTTTCACAATACACCGTTTTTGCCAACGATCGTACCATCTAAATGTTGATAAGCGGCATTTGCTTCCTCATCAGACACAAAACACACGAAACCGAAGTTCCGTGTGTTCGACTTCCGGGCTTTGACCACTCTCAAACGTATACCATTCACTACGATCCATTCAACAAAGCGCCCGAAATCGCCGTCAGTCCAACGGACTGGCAGATTTTCTATGAAAAGTGTGGAATTTTCACGACCAGTTGGTACGGTGAAGAATCGTGGCGGCAACTTCTGTTCATTTTCACCGGAATTACCATCTTTGGCCTTCCATCTTTGGCCTTCCATCTTTGGCCTTCCATTTTGCCGTACTGTACCTAAAGCAATAAATGATTAAATTTTAGGTTAGGTTTTGTTTTTTTTCTACAATTAACTATATATGAAATGAATATTTTTTGAAAAAATTTAAGTATACATACCAATGACATTGTCAATTTTTATTGAATTCGATTTGTTTGTGATTTAGATAAAATTTAAACTTTAATTCGGAATTTAATTTCGCAACAAACACAATGTTGTTCGTCTATTCCATGTGTGTGCCATCATAACAATTGGCTATATGCGCCGCGTAACGTAGATCCAGTGTACTTCGAATATGATTGTACTGATTGTCCGAAGGATCTTGGCAAAAATAGTGGTTGAACAAAAACCGGGCATCAGTGCCATTTGGCGAAATACCGACTTTCAACATGTTTCGATCCATCAAGATTTCCTACCGGTATATTAAAAAATATATATATTCACAAGTTATGATTTCTGAACTGTCCACTTTTTTACATCTAGTTCCGGAGGAATGTGTTTTAATTCGGACAATCGGACAAGGACGCAGAGACCACAATGAGACGCCAATTGCAATAATGCGACTTATTACGGACAATGCCGTACCAGATGGTGATTTTTTTTAGTCTCTTAAAATGTTTTTGTATTAAATTTTGTTTATTGTTCGTTCTCTATGTCTACCTGATAATAAAACTTGATTTGTCGCAAATCAACCGAACCGCCAGATTACGAGACTGCACTTTGAATAATCAGAGTTAAAAAAGTGTGTGTTTTTTTTAACATAACGAAAGAGCGAAAAATGAACAAACGAATAAAAAACGAATCACTACGCCAAAAAGTCGCATTAAAATCGGATCCTGGAATGATGAAATTTTTAGTGAAGCACAAATTTTGTATGCGGCAAAAGATGCATTGGTTGCCATTGAATTGTTCAAATTTTTTGGCGAAAAAATCAAACGCTATCATTCGATTCGTATGGAAAATGTTATTGACATGGATTATAAGGATAATTGAGCGTTTTTTAAGCAAATAAATATTTTTGTAAATAAAATAAATTGCTTATTTTATTGGAGTTTCTGTATATACCAAATATTTTTTGTTGTCATTAAAATTGTCACTGGTATTTTTTTCTCTGATAAAATCAGTAGGTATTAACTAATGTCAATTTTTGGTAAAATAAAGTTTATTTATCTTAAGAACATCGCCAAATAGCTGCATATTGAAAAGAAGCATCTTATCCGATAATGAAAAACGTAGTAGACTATAGTCTGTCTTGCGCACATTCTCATTGACTATATGATGATTCAATCGGCGCCAACAAGTCTATCCTACCGGCCACTATAGATAAATCTTTAGCGAAACTATTTGAGTATTCTCCACTTTTACAGTATCATAAATGTGATAGGCTCGACACAATAAACTGAATCAATTTCGTTTCGTACGTTGTTTTAGTTCAAAAAAACTTAATTCAAAAAGATATGGAATGTAAGTGAAAATTTAGAAAACACAGTAGAAGAACATAAAACTTGTGTCATTTCTCATCTTTTTACTTATATCAAATTAGCTCAAGACTATAATCCATCAGCGGAAAATGCACAAACAATGGATCATCCTGGATTGGTAAATGGTTCATCATTGGCGGCTTCAAATTATCAACAAAATAAGTCAGCACAAATGGAACAACCAACATTTGAGTCGTCCAATTGTCAATCATCGTTGTCTCCAACGAATCAAAATGCACAAAATTCACAAGTCGATCCAGAAGGTGTGAAAGGTTTCGATTTCAACGATGATACAATTCGACGGAAATTCGTGCGAAAAGTGTTCACTCTATTATCGGTAAACATTGCTTCTAAAAAACTGTGAATCAGTAAACAAAGATTAAATTGACCTTCCTCTTATTGCAGATACAATTGGTGTTCACGTTTAGTTTGGTATTACTTCCGTGTCTTAGCGATGGAGTGAAAAGTTTTATGAAATCAAATGGATGGATTTGCTGGGTTTCGCTTATTGTACTGTTCGGCACATTGATAGCTATTGCTTACAATGAGCGGTTTCGACGCACTCATCCCACTAATTTGATTTGCTTGGTCATAATTACAGTAGCTCTAGCAACTTTCCTCAGTTATTTAACTGCAGCCAGCGAGTCAGACATAGTAAGAATTAATACTCTATGTGGTAGAAAAAATAAAAGTATTTTTTTTTATTTTATTCCTGTAGCTATTGACTGCGATTGGTTTGACGGCAATTACAGTCTTGGGATTGTATATCTTTGCCAAACAGACCAAATGGGATTTCACACAATACAATTTGTATGGTGCATTATTGGTGTTCATCATTGGTTTGTTCTTAGGGATTATAATCCGTAAGGATATTTTCCATATATTTCTGTGCTGTGTAGGGGCCACACTCTTTTCTGTTTATTTGATTCGTAAGTTTGAATTCGTTGATATCGAGATTTGAAAAATAAAATACGAATTATCAAAATCTTTTATCGGCAGGTGACATACAATTGATTACGAGCGGAGAACACAAATATAAATTGAGTCCAGATGAGCATATTCTAGCAACTCTAATCTTATATATTGATATAGTTCACGTATTTCATAATATACTACGCCTTCTCAAGATACTTAAGAAGTTTAAATCTTAAAAATGGATTCCAAAAATGAAAATATATACCAAAATTCATGAAATATTACTTATTTTACATCTGATCTTAACATTGACAATACTATTATTTCAAATGATTCAAAATAAAATATTAAAATTACTTGTTATGAAAGAAAACGTAAATTATACCATTTATTATATTACATACATTTTACAAAATTTTGAGCGAATGTTCAAAATCTTGTAAGACTCTTCAATATGAACGAAAAATCCAATTTTGCAAACCTAACGCGTACGCAATAACGAAACATATTCTTAAAACGATGTGCTTATAAGATATATCGGGTTTGGTGCTTTACAAGTTTAAGCAGTGCTTGAACATCAACCGCCATCTATTGATTGAATTAGTATCAGTTCTCGTTTTGTTTTTCTATTTTTTTTTTTTTTGTTTATTTTAATTTGAAAAATTTAAATTTTTGCTTGTTTGTTTAAAAAGCTATAAAATTCAAACGCATTTTACCGTTGTCCATCATTTCTAATATAGTATATAGAATGTGCATTATCAAAATGTGTATGTATATGATTCGTTGTCATGCACTAAATGCAACAATAAAGTGCATTTTATCCTTGAGCATTACGCATATTCTTCGTCAAAGATTTTTCCGAGTGCAGAAAAAAAACTCAGTGCATTATCGATAAATTGAGTGTTAATAATTGTTTCAAATTTGTCAACAAAAACAAAATAAAGTTCGTTGAAAAAGCGATATTTTATCTATTTTATTAAGCAACATAACTTATGAGTCGGCCATTAAAATTTCTTTTGAACTTTGATTTAGCTCAAAATGCATATCCACCATCGCAGGAGGAATATCCGGGATATCCTACACAGCCCTCACAAAATTATCCAACTCAACAAGGCATCCAACCTCACCTGGTGGTCAACTGTCCGCCATCACAACAGGAATAATTTCTTCCACAAAACTTTGTGCCACCGCAAATTTACCAACCATATTATGAATTATACGGAACAATTCCGCCACCACCACAGCATTTTGAAGTGGCCATTGAAAGTTCACAGCAACCAAAAGGATTTTCATTCAATGACAAGACCATTCGACGGAATTTTATTCGCAAAGTTTACAGTCTATTATCCGTAAATGACGTCAATGACAAACGACACATAAAATGACAAACAATTTGATTTGATTTCAGATTCAATTGATAATTACATTTGGTATGGTATTATTGATGAGCTTCCATGATGGCATACAACGATTTCTTTTTCGAAATCCGTGGATTCTCCTGGTCGGATGCATCATTCTATTTGTATTGATGACAGCAATAATTTGTTGTGAATTTGTTGGTCGAAAATATCCGCTCAATTTGATACTATTGGGATTGATCACAATCGGCCAAGGCATATGCTTGGGTTTCATATCAACAAGATATGATCCAGAATTGGTTATGTTTTTAGAATTGGTTATGTTATGTCTCACCAAGTGTTTAACATAAATTCTAAAAATAATTTGAAAAATTTGTTTTTAGATTGTTATTGCGATGGGTATGACTGCTGTGATGGTCATTGGACTGACGATATTTGCCGCACAAACAAAATACGATTTCACAAAATTCTACGGTGTAATTTGGATTGCAATTTTGATGATTATTGTTGGCGCAATTATTTTCATATTTACGCGTAATTATATTTTTGGACTGATTTTATAATGCTTTTCCTTGCCGGTGATCGCCGCTATATTGATTCGTAAGTTATTTTTTGTTGGATAGCAAATTCTGTTGAAATAAAAATAAAAGGAAAAAAAATATTTAACTGATTGGAATTCATTTGAAATAGACGATACGCAAATGATTATTGGTGGCCAACATAAATATCGATTGAATGAAGAGGACTACATCTTTGGAACACTTGTACTGTATGAGGATATCATTCGCATTTTCCGTTTTGTATTGTACATTCTCACCGCCATTTCACACGACTAAAAAATGTACAAAAGTTTATTAAGCCAATGAAAACTATTTCCAAAATATACACAAACATCTGTCTGATATAAAAGAAATCAGTATTCATGTCTATATAATGGTTTATATTATCAATTGAAATGTGTCAAATTTACATTTAAAAAAAATGTAAAATAAATTCCATAGCTATTTATGTAATTTATCGCACACATTTATATAAGTGATAAGAAATGTTACCAAAAAATTAAATAAAAACAAATGAAACAGTACAAGATTCGAGTTTCAAGAAAAACAAGTCGTTTTTTTCTATTATTTACAAGCGATCTCTTTCAGAAGTGACAGCCAACTGATACAAATTATCGTCACATATATACTACTTGCCATCTACCGGATGCAATGAACATTTTTATAAAGATACATTTTTATTTTTCTAAATATTTATACAAATCTAATGATTAACTATAATTATTTAAAAAAAAAAATGAAATTGAATCAAAAAAATCCTCATTTTTGATGTGATAAAATGTATTTCATCTTCTTATAATGAAAAATATGGAAAGTCGAAAATAGACTCATTCATGTAGGGGTTAATCACCTTAATATAGGTCGAACATTATTTTTCTAATAAAACATTATGTAAATACATTTTTTATGAAAAAGAATCTCTCTTAACAGAAAGTCTATTTTCCTTTTTTCCTATTATATTTGTTCGTCACATGACTTTTACTCACTTTGTTTTTTCTTTCCTGTCATTGCTTTCGATACTATAATACATAACAAAGTACTGTATATATTAAAGAGTCTATGTCATATCGCAATGTTGTGACAGTCGCCATGCACAAGTTAAATGTATTAATTCCATACGACATCAAAGTTATGTTAAACCTCCTCTTTTCTCTCGAATCTAAAATATAAAACTTGAACCTTTGTTGAAAGAAACCGAACGTTGTTTGGAGATAAAATAAAAAAAATAGATATTATTTCTCAGAGTCATAGAAAAAAGGGTAATTAAAAAAGGTCGCAACCCCCAGGTAAATATACAAATTGAATTATTATTATTTAGTACTTAAAACACATTCGCAACAATAAAGATGAATGAAATTAATTCAAATTCAACAAATCGAAAACAGAGTAATTTGTAAAATCTTAAAAGCTTTTTATTATTTATATTCAAAAGATTTGATAATATTTTGGAGGACGTCCCCTTGTAGCTTAATGTAGGTTTCGTATGAAATACTTTGGGATTGCAATTCAAAGCACTTTTTTTATTGTATCTATTTATGATTTTTCAATCTCAATCGATAATGATATATATACCAAAAAAAAAAAATTAGTAAACAAAAATTTAATTTTGATAATAGATCTGACGAATGCTTTTCAAAATTTCCCGAATATTTTTAATTTTGGTTGATTATAATAATAACACATTTATATTATTCAGAATAGTCAATAGAAAAAAATTGAAAAGTTCCAACAACATAACCTCAAAACAGCCTTATCAACAAATTTTATAAAATCAACATAATTGAATACTCAACTACGTTAATCAATCAAAACATTTAGACGATCCAAATGTAGAAATATTTTACATTTGAATTTGTAGTATTGATAAAAGTTGCTTATAAGCAAAATTTGCCCCGATAAGCAAAAAATTCGAAATCGAAATTACTTTGATAAAGATGTAAATAATTGGAACTTCATTCAATACAATGAAGTACTGTTTTTTGTATAACCTGCAAACTTTCATGACATCCATCATTTTACAAAAATAAAAATGAAATTTAATCCATAAAGTATAAAATGCGCATTAAAAAGTATTGTAAATGTAATTTGTTTTTATCTCTGTCGCGCGCGCTATACTATTGCATATGAAAAAACGGGAAAGCAATTGTAATAGCTTAGAATGTACGTCATTGAGTATATGTGAGCGCGCATCACCGTCGATACTCAACCGAAACGTGCATATTTTGTACCATATAGACTGTAAATGTGACCGCAGTAGTAGTAGTAGCAGCAATATTAGTTCATTTTGAAGCAGGACAGGCACTCTTTTCAAAGTGTTCAATAACCTTGACGCCATTTTGACTTCAAAATGGTTATTTATTATTGTCACATCTTCTTCTTCTATAAGTTCTATGCAAATCTATAAAATGAGATATATGATCATTTTATTTTGAAAAGATGTTTTACAACATGTTTCATTCTATTGGTTAAATTTTATCATGTTTATTTTTTTTCTTCTAATCTAATTGCATACAATAAAATTTGTGGGTTTGGTGATTACTGGGATACTTTATTCTCACAATCGTCAAGTTATCTACTATTTGAAGCGATGATATTTATTTATTGTGCTGAATGTATAAAGCGTGACGTCAGTGACCCTGCTCATAGAGGTCTAAATAATGGGAGACTAAGTTCCCTTCCAATGGAAATTGAGTACATACTCAATTATAGTCAAAATATAGTATATGTCTTTTATGCATTTGCTCAGATCATTTCCAGAAAATTCAAAGTCAACTTTTTTTTTGTTTACATATTTTTTGGGACACAGGCATCTCTGATCATTTGAAGCTTATTTTCCATATAATTCTCAATACATTATGGTAAAAGGGAAAAAAATCTTAAATTTTTGACATCCCACCAGGCTTGGGAGTATTTCATGGAAAATGTATTTTCGTTTTATGTCGTCGGTTATGTTCGGCTCACACATACACCGTATTACCTTGCAGCCGGAGTACTTTAGAGTGTTTCGTTCGCCTAATGTTTGTACAAAAATGCGTGTAGATGGTTGCATATGTGTGTGTGAGCACGTATTGTACGTGTGCTGACTCGGCTATTCACCCAAACTGTTTGTCAGGCGTGTATAGTGTAGTTTTGTGATTTCTGAAGAATTCATGTATTTTTAAACAATTCGTGCTGCTCGGCTCAGTCAAAAGTGTTAACACATTGTTTATAAAAAATTGTATACGGCAAATTGAACTGACTTGACTGAATTTTATTTTTGTCATCAAAACATTCATACACGCACATATGTAAGTTTTGGATTTTGATGAATTATTTACTCATTTTCTTGCATTTTTAATTCGATGTTTGACAAAAATAACAATTCATTTTTTACGGAGATGTGGTGTACTTTATACAGTGCTACCAACATGCCGAACCCAATTTTCTGTTTAGAGAATAATTTCGACCCATTTATTGACCCTAGAGTTTAAGCCAAACTTTTTTTTGTTAGTATACATGGTAAACTGTACATTTTTTTTGTTTGCTTAAATGATAAGGGATAAATCGAAAATACGTAGTAGAATTGAACGGATGTTCTGGCGCCGAACATTATTCGACTAAAATAAATAATTTATCATTTTTTCGGATTCAAATTTGTTTTTGTGATTAAGGCAAAGATTTCCAAATGAAGAAAAATCGATTTTCTTAAATTAATTTATGCAAATCCGAAAATTTTGTCAGCTTAAAATAGAAAAACTAGAAGAATTTTATATTTTTCATTTGTCAATTAATTTGATTCTGATGTGATCAGAATGTTGGAACATTTCGTATTTCGAATTGACGGCATAGTTAGTTGATAAATGCAAACAAAATCAAAAGCAGCAACGTTTGAATTAAAAAAAAGAGAAGACAAAGTAAGATACAAGCGTTCATGTGTTGCGTTTGAGAGTTAAGTAGCATATGTATGTACACTTGTAGTCAAACGAGGGGTATACAATGTGAACGCAATAGCTTATCGAAACATTACAATATGCACATACGTTTAAACTATAATAAAATGTTCAACTTTGGGTACGCGCTGCCGTAGCTATACCCATGTTGTGTGTGCATACGAATGAAGCAGAAAGAGAGAAAAGAGAAGAAAAAAAACAATTGTCGCCCAATCAGGTTTCTGAGCAAATATCGTACAGCGAACCGATACTCATGTATACGCACGACTGTTCTGCTTTTTAATCAATTCTATTACAATGTACCGTTCGCATCCAATTTCAATGCGATCTCTGTTTACTGTAAATTCCGATCACTTTATCGTCTCTTGAAATTTTGGTTGCTTTTTATTCATTTCTACCATCAACCTTAGATTTTAAGGTAAGGATGAAATTTTTATGAAAATTTGAATGCCGCTAAATCAATAAATACTAAAGAGAATTTTGCATCAACGCCACCTACATGAGTGTTGCCATATGACGTTTACAGTGATTATTTAGAATGAAAATTTCAATTTCGAATTACCAAAAAAGAAGAATCTCAGAAATCAAAAAAAAAAAAACATCTTTACATCAAATGTTCAAATGAAAATGTTCGCTGACAAAAAAACATACACACACATTGAAACCATCGGTCCAAACTTTTTTTCATTGTACAAACATAGAACGCATATGTTTACTGCATGACTTATAGATTCATCTGGATAAAAAGCACCTAGATTTGAACATTCCCCAGTCGGCCATTCGACTACGGTATAGATTCCGTTTCATACGGCTTCCAAATGCTATATACAAAAAATATAAAATTCAATCTGTCAAAAATGCAAGACTCCTTTAAAATGAAAACAAAAAAAGCCAAATTCCATTCTCAAAGTATAAATGTGTTTACATTGTATTGGGATCTAAATTGATATTCATTGTGAATATAACTTCAAAGTATGGACTAGTACTACGTAGATGCGGACTCATAGTTCGTATTGTTTGGTAGGCCTTTAGATTGTTGAGTGTTTATAAAAACAAAAATTTGGTAAGACTTTGAGACAAATGTGGGGATTAAGCAAAGAGTCGACTACAGCGCCATTTCGCTACAACTTTTCAACCGAACAAGAGAAACACACAGTAAAATCAATACACAGAGAATGAATAAATGACAGAAATGTTTGTCTCTTATTAGTACAAAAGGCTTAACATGCAGACGCTGTCACCAACAATTTTTTTTAAATATTTTTTTTCTTATTAAATTTATCGGTATCTGTTGAAACATGTGCAGTTGATAAAAAAGAGGAGTCAGCATACATTTTTTCGAAACTACTGTAAACACAAAACATTTACGGTGCAACATACACATTCTATGAGAGTAAGTTTATGTGTGTGAACGATGTAATATATGATTATATACATATATATTTGCATTGGGTGAGAATATTCAATTCGAATAAATGCACAAAAGGAATACATGTATGAATGGTTTAGTAATTGCAGTTGTATTTCAAATGTTAAATAGAGTATCGTATACACGTTATTATTGGAAATCGAAATTATGAACTATTTTCCGGTGTTTATTCAAATGTAATTTTTTTTATTAACTTTTCAATATATTTTCGATTTCGTAAAAAAAAAAATAGAAAAAAAGTTGAATGAACTTTAATTTTTCAATAAAAGTGGGAAAATATTGTTTTTTTTTAATTTATCCGAAAATGTTCTGATCTTACATGTAAATAAAAAAATATATATACAGTTTATATTAGTTTATTTATGTTTCAAAAATACAAACAACATTAATAAAAACATTCATTGTACACCGCAACCAAATTGAGGCTTGTTATTGTTGATTTTGAGGTTATGTTTAGTTTGATAGTCAATTTTATGTGATGAACCGTGTTTTATTGACTGATACGAATTCAAAATTGAAAAACTGTTTTTTTTTTTTCAAAATTATGATTTTTTTTGGTGTGAATCAAAATGAATTAATTTCAAAAATCGTTTTTTTTGCAGAGTTTTCCACAGGGAGCCGTTGAAAGCGGTATGAGAAGGCGGTTATAACACAAATGGTTGATATCAAAGACACTTCGATTTTGGCGACGGGCCTTAATGAAAAAATCGAATCAATGCCTGACGTCGCTGATGCAAATTTTATTGATGATGAACCAATGGATAATTTAGCTTATTCAGACAGTGAATCTGCTTCCATTGCCATGCCCGATGACGATTTTTGTGATGCCCTAGATATGGTCGAAGATATTGAGAATCTACCACCCAAAAGTGGTAAATTGATAATTTTATCTGCGTTCCAATTTGACATTATTATTAAATGTTTCTTTTTTTTGAAAAATTTTATTCTAGTTGATGATATTGCCGATGAAAATGAGAAAATTCCAAATGGTCTACCGGAAAAATCATCAGAGTGTGTGAAAAATGATTCAGATGGAAATGCAGAGATAACAGCCAAAAAGTCAAGTACATTTGACGAAAGTGAGAAAATATTGACAGAGAATTCGATTGAAGGCAATTTAGATGAGAAGGACCCGATCATTTCAGACAAAGTAAATGGAATTGCTGACGATAATATAGTTCCTAGTGAGAAAATCAATGAAGCTAAAATGGGTAGTTTAAATTCAACTGAATTGGATGCCGTAAGCGATGAAGAAATCGTCACAAATAATGCTGACGAAACAGATAAATCAGCCGACCTACAAGAGGTGTTGTGTAATGGAGATTTGCTCTTGGATGATACAAGTAACATTGATATGCCGATACCAAATGGTGATATTGATGCTGGCGATGGTGACATAGATATCGACCAAATCTTCGATTGGAACTGTCAAAACAACGATAAATTAGATATCAGTGAAACGATTTCAGAGAATTGCCCTGAATTGCCGCCAGCTGAAAAACCGGCCGAGGAAAATGTGGAATCGGAGGTGAGTAAACTAAACACCGATGTAAATGTAAAACCAATCGCTGAAGCAAACGTCGAACCAATCGCTCCAAATGTCGAACCAATGGTTGAAGCAAATGACGCACCAATGGTTGAAGCAAATGACGCACCAGTTACAGACGTAAGCGCCGCAACAATCACAGACGTATGCACCGAACCAAAAACTTCCGATGAAAATTGTATGGAAACAATCGATGAAGATTTATTGTTAAAATCGCCAAGTTACAATGAAAATTTGGCCGATGATGTCGATGGGCCGATGTATTCAGAGTTGGAACTTTTGAAAGAAGAGTGCCAAAATTCGAGTTTAATTTGTACTGATAGCAAAAATACCAGTGATGACAGTGTCACATGTCTGAATTCATCAAATGAAACGACAGAATTATCAGATGACACCGATGTGGAAAACGATGTCTCTGACCAAGTGGCAACAAAGGAACGAGTTGAAGAGAAAATCGAAGAAACGGAAAAGAAAAATGAAGAACCAGTCGATTTGTTTGATTTACTGAAGACATCAGATGCAAACGAAGAAAAAAGTTCAAATGTGCCGTTATCGAAACAAACAGAAGTAGGCGATTCAGCTGAAAATGATGTGATCGAAGAGAATAGAAACGAATGTAAGAAAGAAGAGAGCAATGATTCGAAGCAATTAGAAGACGGAAAACATTCCAAGCATTTGGAAGAGGAGAATGAAAAAATTACCGAAATTGTTGATTCACCAAAGCCCGTGACAGAGATGTCGATACCACCAAAAACAGACGCATCTGCTGAAAATACTGGTGATTTAATTGAAAACCAAGATAGTAAAGAGAACAATTTACTTGAAGCGATGGATGTTTCGCCGATTAGTGCAGAACATGGTGAGTCGTCAACATCGTTCCGAGACGATTTTATGCCAATTGAAAATTATGATAGCAATCAGATCATCGAATTAAAGGATGAAAATTCGACCGATGCTAGAGATGGTTTCAGCGACAGTAAAATTGCCGACAACGAACATACCGAAAAAATGGAATCGAACTATGAATCGAATAAAGATTCGATTATAATGACAGATTCCGTTGATCAACAAGATTCGAGTGCAAGTAAATCAATTGGAAGTGTGGTTGCCATCGATGATGACGATGATGAGTGGATTGTTGATACAACCAAAACTGAAAATGATGAGCCACCGCCCAAACGAGCCCGATTAGAAACAACTGACAATGAGTCCTCTATTACAAATGAATTGATGGCCGAAATTGAAAAGACTGAAGAAACGGTCAGAGAAAATATTGAAGCAAATGTAGCGGAAAAATTCGAAGAAACAACATCAAAAGTTGATCAAACGAGCGAGACACCAAAAGAAGAACCGGCTGTTGAGCCAACAATTGATGACGATGATGACATAGTTATAATCGAACCAACTGAAACAAAAGAATCTGAACCACAGCTAGAGTCAAGTGCAAAGTCAATTAAACGACCAGCCAGCCCAATTGAGATCGATTGCGATAGTGAAAATCGAAAGAAACTTAAATCGGATTTGCCGGAAGAAATTTTAAGCGTTGAAGAGCAAGTTAAAGTCGTAGAAACAAAAATTGATGAAATCAAAATAGATGGTGAGTCAAAATCGAAGACGGAGATGCAAACTGATGAAATATCAACACCAATTGAGCCGGCCAACGAGAAAGAAGAAGATGAAACAAGAAAAATGTCTATCGTTGAGAAACCGACCGTAGAAAAGGCTGAATCAAAATCAAATCTCAAAACTTTGTTGACAGCTGAATCGAAAATCGATTTGAAACCAAAACTAGATGAAAGCGTTAAGCGAAAATTAATCCTGGAATTTGGTGAAAAATTCAAAAAAGATTTCATCAAAATGAGCCGCAAAAATCTGGAGGAATTCGTTTTGGAAAAGATTGCCGAGGCCATCGTTCACAAATCTGAATACAGTGAATTGAAGAAAAAGACCGAAGCCCAAGAGCAAGCTATTCAGGTATCACGCACAAAACTTCAAGAAATTAACAAACAATATCGTGATTTGGAAATGGTATATGCCAGACTCAAAAAGGATCTCGAGTCGAAAAATCAAAATATCATTGGGCCGATTAAAATTACACGTGCGGTTGGTTTGCAAGTATGCTTACAAAAAACTGCGAACAAAGAGACAGCAGCCAATGCGCAAGCTCAAACGAAAACAGTGCAAAGAACCACCATGTTGGCATCACAAATGGCGAATCGGGCCACACCAAATAGTACAACTGCCGTTCAACACAAAGTCGTACATGCGCCACCAAACAAACAAATCATTCAAAGGCAACCCGTACGTCAAATAGCCGGACGACAGATTTCACAAGATCAACCGCAACCCCGTGTTGTTACCACAGGTAAAATAAACATCATTTTTATAAAGAGAAAGTCATATCGATTTTCTTTTTTCGGCTCTATAATGATTCAAATTTTATTTAACAGTGCAAAGGCGAATAGTACAATCAAACAATGTACAACCACATATCGTCCAGGTGTCACCTCAACGAAAAATTTTGCCAGTCACAAAGTGAGTAGCAATAAGAAAAAAAATGGTATTATCCGAACTTTTTCCAATTTTTATGTAAATTCTTTCAGTCGAGTGGGAAATGTAACGATCTTACCAACGCAAGAAAATCAACGCGGTCCACAGATGATTGTAAAGAAGATCAGTCCAAATCAACGGCAATATGTTGTTGTTAATCAAAATATTGCCACACAACCACCACAACAACAGATGACAACAATCAACAAAGTTTCAACGAATGCAATTGCTGCAACAGCACCACAACGTGGTGGACCAAGGTAATTTTCTTCATACACTCAATTTGATCGATTAGATCAATTGTATCGTTTCTTGTTTATCATTGCAGTGGTTACATTCAAGTTCGTCAAAATTTGATGGCGGCAAACAGTAATACGATTGATTTAACGGATGAAGATGATGCAAAACCTCAACCAAAAAGAGTACAACAGCAAGTTAATCCACCGGCATTGGTTGCATTGAATATCCGAAATCGGCCAGTCGTTCAACAGCAACAAGCTCCACGACAACTAGTAACAACACAACAAACGATTCGAAATGCATCCCTTGCTGCACAGGCAGCAAGTCAGCAAAATGTTCGGCAGCAAATCAACAGTGCGGCCGTTGCCGCTCAAAGAAAATTACCAAATATAGGTAATTTAAAAAAAAACGTTTTTTTTTTATTTTGTTTCGCACACGAAATAAATTTAAAAAAAAGAGATGTATGCTAATTTATCGTAACAATTTCAGCACCAAAACCTGTATCGGCTCAACAAACATTACAAGCAGCAACGACTATAAATAGAGTAGTATCAACACCTAGTCCAACCCAAAATGTGGCACAACAACAACAGCAAACACAGCAACAGCAACAGCAGCAGCGCAAGGCGGCTGCTGCTCGACACCGTCATCCAGCTCCATTACCATATCCATACAATCCGCCCGGTGAACCAACTTGGAAACGAATCCCACCACGTCCAATCATTCGAATCAACAATAATTCGTCTGGCATCGTGATTTCGTGGAACATGGAGCAAACAAAGGATCATGCCAATATAGTTAGCTATCAAATTTATGCGTATCAAGAAACATCAAATGCACCATCAACAGAAACATGGTAACCATTCGGTTTTTTTTCGTTTCATTTTGATTAGTTGTTGTGCAAGTAATTAAGTTAAATAATGTGCATTTCAATATTACAGGCGACATGTAGGCGATGTCAAAGCGATGCTACTTCCAATGGCCGTTACGCTTACACAATTCCAAGAGGGTAGCGAATCATTCTTTCTTTTCCATAAATATATTTATTTTTTCGATTATATTGTTCATTAATTTTCATTATTTTCCAATTGTCATTCATCTCTAGGTCAAAAGTATCATTTCGCTGTGCGAGCCGTTGATGAACACGGTCGATCTGGACTATTCAGCGTTCCACGTACATACTAAACAATACTGAAGTTTACACTCACTCACACACACGCACACATACACCAAATAGATTTATAGCCATTTTTTAACAAATCGACAATTCATTTTCATTCATTTCCATAAAAATGTGTATTTTTTTTTTTTCATTATTTTTTATTTGTCGAATTTAGTTATTCTTGATAAGTTTCTTATAGAAAACAATTTCTAGTGTAAAAAAATACGCAAATATTATAAATTATAAAATTTATATAATAGTTTTAATGGCGTTAAACAAAACATTATTGTGATTACATCACTAACATCATTTTTTCGGTTGGAAATAGTTGATGACGAGAAAAACGTATTAGATAAGTTTTTATTAGAGTAATATGTACGAGTGAGAGAAAAAATAAGCAAACAATTGTAAATCATCACAATAATCATAAAAATGAATAATCGAAATGAACTATGAAAGAATAAATGAGAAAAAAAAACAATAACTCAAAGTGTTTATTTTGTGTGTGTGTAAATGACTTGAGATAGACTAACTAAGTGGCTAATGGTTTCGTGCAGAAAAAATTGGTGTTGAATTGCACCAAAGAGCTTTCTAAGCTGATGTATCCGAGCATAAAAAATAATTACGTTCGGCCTAAATTAGTTTACCTTTGGTTCTTTTGTGTTTGTTGTATATACGGTGTGTTTTTTTCTCTCCTTTCAACAAATACAGGTCAAACGTATTAAGCAGATCGTATTTCGATAATCGTCGTTCGTTCGTTTGGTCGCCACTTATAAGTCTGTATTTGTTGTGCTCATGTCCTTAAAATAATGTGCGCTTATACATAAGAATTTCATGACATTTGGCATTCGTTCTTTTCCCTTGCACATTTGAATATGAATGTTCGAGAATGAATGTGAGTCTTCTCCTGAGAGTTTATTGAAATGTAGCACCGCCATACAAAAATTTCTGACAGTCAGCATTTTTTGTATGGCGGTGTTACATTTCAATAAACTCTCAGGAGAAGACTCACATTCATTCTCGGACAATCATATAATCAAAATGTATATGGGGTTTGTTCCACGCTATTTTTGGTACGGCTGCTGCCGTGACAACGCGTGTAATGGAATTACCCATTAAAATGCGAGATGTAAGCAGTATTTTCCATCAAAAGTCAGCATATGTCATATAAATATATAGCACCCAATAGCACCAAACCTCAGTCCAACCACCCAAAGTATATACAACGATAGCAAGACGTAGAGAGAGAAAGAGAGAGAGAGAGAGAGAGAGAGAGAGCTAGAGGACGAGGGAGAAAGAAAACAGAAAACATATTCACATGCAAATTGTATTGCGATCCTAATGAAATGCCAGCAGTGTTTCAGTTTTGACGGTTGATGTCTGATTACTCATAATATGAGTGCTCATCGATCACAAAATTAATTCGGCCATCCATATTGAGTCTGAACGTTATTACGGTTTGATTCTTGTCAGCGGTAACAGGAAATTCGATCTTGTTATAATATATGTTGCATAATGAATGAATGTATGGTGCAAACGGCAAGCAGACATGCACATTTAGCATAAAATTTGTATGAGTGTGTAGGCGTGGTTTTTATTTTATTTTTTTGTCGACAAGCTAAAAACACTTGACTCGATCCGATTTTCCATTATTGGATTGAAGCACTAAAGCTTTCCCATAACTGCGATCATTATTGTTTTTGCACTTTTTATTTAGTTTGTTTTATATATATATATTTTCCGCTCAGTCCACGATCTAATTCTACTATAACGAAGCATTTATGGAGTTTTTTTTGCATATATTTTCCACTTTCAGCACATTACTGGCTATTTTTTTATGAAATAGAAAGAAACTCATAGAAATAGATTATACAATTCAACTCTATTTTGAAAATCGCAAAGGCATTTCGCATTAAGAAAACCTACAATCACTTACATGTTAACATGCACAAGTTAAATACAACAACAAAAAAAAGTAACGAGAACATAACAAAAGCTTTGCATTCGCCATGCCGATATGGAATTCAAAAAAAATAGGAAAGAAAGAAATACTTTTTTCTCTTTCTTTCTCAT